AGTACTCACTTATCTTTATTATTTTTTAAAAAAAATAATTGTAATTCACGTCACCCATCATCATCTTAATATTTTTTTATATAAAACTGTAAATATCTTTTAAAATTTTAAATAAATTATTCGTTTTTGTTCTATTTTTGTTGTTTCGTTGTTGTTAGGTTAGGTTCTTTAGTTTTTAATTGTCGCTTTACGACAGGTCGCAATGCAAATAGCGAACAAACGACGCAGAGAGTGACAATTTTGTTACCCGTGCGCGCGCTGCTATGAAAACCAAACGGCGCGGTGACAGTTACGTCACGGGCTTGTTCAGCCGGGCAGCGTACAAAAATGTCACTCAGTTGTTACGTCGTAACTCAAAACTAACTAAAAATCTCCATACATATCCACGGACTTGATATGAGTGACGAAACAGTCACGGTGACAGGTTTAGGTTAAAGACATATCTTGCGAATCACACATAACAATAGTGATGTCATTTTACTAGTAAATCAAAAGATAAGAATGTACTTACTATCATATTTGTCATAGTATAAAGAGGCCAAAGATAACCTGTCGTTCAAGCGCTACGCATAAATTACACGCAAAATCGTGAGTCAATATACTTCGACATCACCACTACAATAAGGTGGGATGATAATCAAGCGCTGGCTGGCAAATAAAATAACATGTGTTCACAGCAGTTAACATGCGGTAGAAGTGAAACTTTCTGAAAACTAAACTTCGAGAGAATGAGACAAATGCAGAGTATCAGGTGTAGGAAAATCGTAGGGATATTTATTATAACACTGTTACCAAGTGTAAAAACTACTTACACTTCATTGTATTTTATTTCATTCTCTCGCAGGCTTAATCCTATATCGTTTTTCTCTTTTTAGTGTCCCTTTTTCGTTTCTCGAGTTTCACAACACAAGGATTTTAAAGAAATTTTCACTTCAAAATACATGTTATATATACATACAGGATGTTAGTGTAAACACCGTTGTTCTTGAAACCAGTGGTTTGGTTTCACTTAAAGAACGTAAATTCAATGAAAAATAAAAACATTTTTTTTTTTCAGTAAAATCTCAATTTTTTCTTAATTCGTCAATTTTTGCCTGTCCTAAGCCAGGATGAAAGTATGAAGGAAAAGTTACATCACAAGTTATGTGTACCTATTGTGTTTTTATTGTAATGTAGTGTAGGTAGCTTGCGCGGGCGGTGATCTTTACAGTGATTACATCACATAGGGTATGCATGAATTTACGGACGGTGTCGGACAGAAACTTTTTAAATTTTATGACAGAAAATAACGTTTTTTATAAATTAATTGAATTTAAGTTCTATAAGTGAAACCAAACCACTGGTTTAAAGGATAACGGTGTTTACACTAACAACGTGTATATTTCATTTTTAATTATTCAAAAAAGTACTAAATAGAGAAAAAGATTCTACCTATATCGGTAAAACATGATTTTTGGTAAGAATAATGTAATCAAACATTTCCCGACCAAAGCTTATACGCATATAGCGCCATAAAAATGTACGTTACTCCGCATAATAAACATCTATACTTTAGTCTATAATAATACATTTTTGCAAAGCTTTAGGACCGTATGGCCTAGAATACTTAAGAAAATAAAATAAAAACACGAAAAGATGGTGCAATTCACACGCGGTATAAGTGAAACCTGGGTTTAGCCGGTTACAAGTGCTTTCGGTTAAATCTAGGTCTAATAAATTCCGAACTGTTAACTTTGTCAAGAATACGAAAGCACCTATTAAATAATTATCAACAGTATGGTAAGGTGCGGTTGCGATGGTACTTGTGCTACTCGAATACCGGAGACATCGAACTTTCATTGTGTAATAGACCTAATTTTAGTCACAAGCAAACGGCTCATCTACTTTTTACCACAAATAAATCAACGATACCTGGTTACAACCAAATACGTTTCTTATTTTTTTTATAGAAATAAGTTATTTCATGAACTTCCTTTTAATGTAATGACGTAAATAGTGATCTAACTTTAAGCACTTAAACGTTCCGTCTCGTTCAATTGAGCTAAGCAGCGCAGAAACTAAAGAACAGAGTAAATAATAGTACTACTTATAGAAGTTGCACTCCTTTGATAACTATTTGACAACGTTTTAATAGCCTGCAGAATTATTTTTAACTAGATAAATCACGCACGCAAGCTAAATTAAACTTCAAGGCTGCGCACGAGCGTGCGTATGGCTTTGCATTTTTTCCCCTTCCTACGTCCCGGACGATATTTCTTGGTTACCCAGGGCTTTAGCAGATCATAAAATACGTACTTAGACAAATGACATAAATATATAAAATAACCTCAATCCAATAACGTTAAAGAGAAACGAACAATGGCATATTATTGAGTTCTTCCTTCGCTTGTTGAATAACATGGACTACCAATTCAGAGAAAAAATATATATAAAAATTTAAAAATACTTGTTATTAAATCTGTAAAGGAATAGTAGGGAAATATTCCTACTATTTTTTTATTTTATAATATTAATTATCAAGTGTTTCACTCCATATTTAATAATAATATTGTGCAGATCTTGTGAAGTACTCCTAAAAATCAATGTTTTTGTTTTACTATATTAGTCGATAATGTTATGTAACGCTAGGTTGAAACATTTCTAGAATCCTTACAGCCACTGTTACATAGTATTTAAGGTCCACTGTTGAATATAGGCCTTCCCATAGAATACTATAATACACAATAGAATTGCTGTCAACCGTATTTTGTACGACGATAGGCGTCGCCGTGAGCACACATACAACCAATAACATCGTATTATCACTACTACCAACCTGATTCGCTGTTTTGACAGACAGATATTAATACATATTTATTTGTAAATAGCGTGCAATTTGGCATTTTCTAAATAATTTGCAATATACTTACTTAGTATATATATACATATATACTTAGTATACTTGTTATATACTAAGTACTTCGGAAAGTGCTCAACAGATGCGCCATATTGGCCAAAATGACCCCGACATTCCAGTGGATAATAATTACATGAATCATGAATAAAACAATTTTTTTTTTACTTTGTCAACGTAAAGGACAATGGCGAACTCCCAAATAAATTTTATAGTTCATAAAAGATAGCTTGATCTCTGCGACAGCTGTCAGTAAAAATCACGCCTATGAAGTCCTGAATTTCTTAGTAGTACAGACAGTACCTGTCAATGTCATACTTTATGGGCATGCACTAATTAGGTCGGCATGCCCATAAAGTATGACATTGACAGGTACTGTCTGTACTACTAAGAAATTCAGGACTTCATAGGCGTGATTTTACTGACAGCTGTCGCAGAGTTCAAGCTATCTTTTATGAACTGTAGTTGACTTTTTTTCTTGCGTCTACAAATGCAAAATATGTTAAAATATAGTTTAAGATACTGACAGACAACGTCCGCCTGGTAAGCTTGTATGTTTATATAGAGTAGTTACTAGCATATAAAGAATCCTTAAAGAACACATTAGTATATACAGAAGAGTTTTCTGAATAAAATACACGTCAAACTCGGCTGTATGTTGTAAGATCTTCGTCTGTCTTAACTGACGAATCGTAAGAACTACAACTAGTCAGTTAAGTTTTGGATTGTGTATGATTATTTTTTCTATATTAAATTATTTTATTGATATCTGTAATGATGACTTAAGTAAACGCTTAATAATTCCATCACCTATTATTTCGCCATTGTCCTTTGTGTAGGCAAAAAAAAAACTCATATAAAAGGCCGCGCTGAAAAAACCACTACGTAATTTCAATTTCCCGCCATTTCGGGATCTTACTATGCGTAATTTTGTGATTTTGTGTTTCTCTTCTTATTTTGTGACTCGGTTTTATACATTCGTTGAAGCATGTGCACATGTCAAAAACAAAAAGTGTTTAAAAAAAGATTATGGATGACTTTGAGAGACATTAATTTTGAGTGCATTATTGAAAATTAAATAATAATTAATCTAAACAACGACAGCACAGGTAGTTGTACTGAAAGAGATTGAAAAAATTTATTTTTAATCTAGTTTCAATATAAATTTTTTATAGTTGTGCCCCTAGAAATAAGCAGTTACAACAAATACGAAGAAACCGATAAATCTTGTGTTTCAAATTATCCGTTTTTAATTTATTCTGGTATTATTCAAACCAAACTATAAATGATTACTAGTAACTCTAAATAATCGACATCGATTTTTTTAATAATCGAATATTGTACGTTCCCATTTTTTGGTTCGCATGCTTGGTGCAATAAGTCTGACAGCTGTCAAAATGCATTTCTTAGATTTGGTTGACTATAGTTGCAGCCGCACTGCTCGTAAGAGTAAACCTAGTTGCGTGGCTGAATCGATGCCCTACAAAAACGCTGGACTGTACAGTGTTTTTTGGATGCAAGAGATTTACTGCCACGTTAAATTTACAAAAAGATTGCGTACCTTTCATATATATGTAATTTTAATCACATTATTGCTATTTACTTCTTTTTAAACTTAAAAATTACTGTAATAATGGTCGTGTTCTTTCGGATTTCTTTACCATCACAGGCCGCTCGCCCACTGATTCGATTCGGTATCTGAGTTGTCCACTGACCTCTATATATACAAGTGTCGCTGTCGCTGACACCGGGTGATACTGTTATAAATATAATATATTTATAACAGTATATAAATATAATATAACAGTATTATATGTATTTCTAATTGTATCTACAACGCGTGATACACTCCCGATATCCAGCAGTGGATTTTACGGGTTAGTTAAGAATAAAGATGTCAATGATAACTTTTGGATATTAGATTAATGAATTTAAAAAATATATATATTTGTTTAAAAAAATTCACGAAAAAAGTCTACATAATATTATAATAAACAATTCTTAGGATATATGCACTATAGATAATACAATTATTTAAATTTGCCATATAAAATTGTTAAAAATTACTATTAAATACACTTAGTGAATAGAAATCATTTCTTGTGTTTCAATCCAAATCTGCTACTGGCTTTGTGTCACTGTCTTTAGACATTTCGGATATTGTGGATAAATTCGGTACAGCACAGATGATAGGAAACAGTTGATTAAGATTAGATCCATAACTAACGTCGCTAGTTGAGAACTTTTGAAGAGCAAAATTTGTATTCGTAGTTTCATCTTCGGAAAAAAGATACCATTTAGAAGGCTGTGCTCTTTCCACTGGCACGTCATCGGATAAATCTTCAGTGATAAGACTAGTAGGCGATCCTTCACTATTCATTGGTGTGTGGTACGTCGTGCCCACATTACTCTCAATATCTTTTGAACTTATTATTTCATTAGCTGTAAATTATAAATAATAAGCAAAATTAAAAAAAAAAACGTATTATAACATAATCTTTGCATTCAGAAGTCCAACTTATTTAATGAAGTTATTTATAAATTATGTGTGTGTAAAGTAAATCCAAAAACTGTAAGTATAGTTATAGGGGATATTGATAATTAGAATCAACGGTAGCCTAATGGTTGGGTGTAGATCGCAAACTTTTAAGGGTCGATCCTCATTTGCCGTTCACAGTTTGTTCTCGGTCCGATCTCGTTCTGATTTATTATATTATTGGAATGGGATTCGAACGAAACTTGACTGTTACGGATAGTATGAATATTATTAATTGATAATATTTTATCAGACCGAGATCGGACCGAGAACGAACTGTGAACGGCAATTGAGGATCGGCCCTAAAAGACATGGGTTCGGATCCGCCATTCGACTACTGTTGTTTACCACTCTTGACACAATCATTTGAAACTTAACTGAAGTGGTTAAGGGGAATATTAATAGTGCTAATAGCATTGTTAGAATTATCTTTTAAATTATATAAATAAGCTTTATAGGATATATTTATAATATTCAAATATGACTCGGGTAATCTTTAGCGCACTTACCGATGCTGGTTTGGGGACATTCAGTATTACTGTTGCTGTTTTGGGAACATCCTGTATTTAATTTACCATCAAATTCCATTTCAAGTGATTGCGTAGAGTTACTGTCTAAAGATATCACAGATTTTGTACTGCACTCTATAAACTCTACACTGTCACCCATGCACTCATTGGCTTGCAAGCAAGTTTCTGAATGATTATGAATGAAATCAACACTGTCATTAAATCCTTTGAAAAAAATACTTGATTCAGTGTCATTTATTCCACTATCTGCATGTAAGGATTTGTCACACATATTCAGGGTTGTTTTTTCTGTATTTGTATTTCTTGCATCACTTTTCGTTTTAGGTCTGAGAATTTTCACTTTAATAATATTGTCTTTTTTCTTTTTGCCCTTCGCATTGGACAATTTTGTGTCTGTAGTAATGTGTTCATCACGAATAATATTTTCAATAGCACTAGACATAGGAATTAAAGGCGGGCATGACTTTCTTCCCCCTTGAGAACAAGTTTCTACATGCTCTTTCTCAACAAATGTTTCAAATTCAGGTTTCTTTGACTTAACTTTTCTCGCACCTTTACGTCTTTGTGGTGTTGAACACCGTTTTTTTGATCTTTCTTTGTAAGTTGTTTGGATTTCCTCAGCATCTACATCCATTTTATTTTCATTATCATCAACCACTTCAACCCCTTGCAATTTCGTTGTTAATTTTTTAGCACTCTCTAGAAGCAAATTTTGTATTTTTTGTGTGATTGAATCCGATAAAGTAAAGTTTTCTCCAATATTTACTGTACAAATTTTATTTATAATAGAATTGGTCACGCTCGAAGACTTATTAACATTGCAGTCATACTTAGGTTCTAGGAGACTTTGTTTATATGTTTGTATCCCACAGTCTTGTTCCATTAGCGGCATCGTAATATCTACATCAGTAATATTATAGTCGTTGCAAATATATTCTTTCTTTTGATTATCTCTATTAGAGTTTTCATTTTCAGTTAGTTCTTCTACACTACTCAAGGCGTTCTTGTTTATTGATATATTTTCTACGATAGATAAAACAGGTGATGGAGGTAATGATATGTTGCTAGAATTTTCAATATCAGTATTACCACTTAGCCCTAACTCAGTGTTATTAGCTCTGCCCATAGAATTAAATTGATCATCTTTAACTATTTCTATGTTAGGTTCTTGTAATACTGTCCCAGAATCTACTTTATCGTCCAGGTTTACTTCATCTATTTTTGCTAGTTGGTTAAAGGAATTTCTTGCTTTGGGCATCAGCAACTGATAGGAATCAGATCTGTACACTTCAGTGTTTAAACTGGAATTTTGTATTGACTTCGACTTAGAGCAAAAACTTGGACATGAGTTGCTGGATTGGTCAGAAATATCATCAAGTTTTAACTGCGTTCTCCTACGTATACTTTGTCGCGTTTGATAATTTTTTCTTTTGTATAAAGAAGTGATACTAACTTTTTTCTTCTTTCTAAGGCATATATTATATGGGCTTATATCAGAATCCTGGTAGCCCTGACTGCTATCTACAGAGTTAACCGATACATTAGTTGGCGACGAGAATATTCCAACGTTTTCGTGTGTGCTGTCAAATATGAAAAAAATAGTGTTACGGCATGCAGACAAGCAGCAAAGCTCATGAACTTTGTAAGAAATGCAGTGTCAACTTTGAACTAGAAAGCTATTAAGCGTCATGCATGCCATAATAAATGGAAGCAGGTTGATATCAATGGATGCAATGTGTGTACTTATTAAAATAAAAAATAAACTGAATTTTTGTTATAATTTCTTATTTCTCGTATTTGGTTGTAGACATAAGCTACATTAGTAATCGAATTCGCATTAGGTATGATACAAAGGTTAAAATTTCCTTTCATTATACTTATATAAAATATTTTAAGATTAAGTCGACCTCGCTGCTCCATTTCGATTTAGCACTAATTAGCACAGTTCACATTTTTACATGATCATAAATGCAAATATAATATTGATTACTAACTACTTTTCATTTCAGAGTAAAGTCCACATGCTACTTTTGGAAAAAATAATACAAATTTGACTCTAAGACTTTTATTTGACTTAACACACCTGCTCCCATTCACATACATACAATGAAGTTAAAAATAAAGGGATATTCTCAACATTCCTACCCGATGCTTATATAACACGGGTACTTAATTTTTAAAATTACAACAATTTCACATGAGTCCATTTTATTATCTAAAACCTATTGATAAAAATGATTTTACGATTAGTTAGTTTGGCATATAAGAAAATAAAAGCATAGTAAAATACAAAATACATATTATATGATCTGAGAGCGACACTACACGGTGCGACACAGAGCTGTGTACATTATTACCACGATGCGACTTCGGGCCGGATAAATTTTCAACTTAGTGCTTTAAGTACCACATCTAGCATTTTATTGCCTACATTGTGTTGTCGCTGATCTAAATCATAGCACCGCGAAGCAGCGCCGCCACTATATTTGGCTAGATCTAAATCACTACATTCATAAGTGTACATATAGTTACTTATTGATTAAAAATATGTATGTATAGAATTATAATATTATTCAAATGATTTTTTATCTGCCGACTAATTTTTTACAATTTCTTTCCTTTAAACATACTAGATAAAATATATATAACTTAAAATAAAAAAAGGGAAAATTCATTTACTTAATACTAAAATTTAGTCCTTGATATTTTGAAACTAAACAACCTTGAAGTTGTTGTTAGTAAAATTAGTCATAAAAATAACTTGTGAGCTTATTAAATGTCAAAACATTGTTGTTTTTTTTTAAAGAAACACTACTCACTAGCTATTAATAGGTTTTTGCTGTTTTGGAGTTTTATTGGCACCAGATTTCCTATAGGTCTTCTTTTCTGACGGCTCAGGAGACGGGAATTTATAACGGACATCGGTTTCATCTTCTACTCCTTCTACTACGGAAACTTCTTTTATTTTTTTGGTTCTGGTGTTTATAACATTATTATCGATTTTTTCGGTGCTCTCTAAAACAGAAAATTTAAAAAAAATTGCGTATATTAGTAATATTTCTCATATTTTAACAGTTAGTTGATATTTTATAAGTAATGCTGAAGGGATTACACCCTTAAGGGCAACAATAAATTTAACATATTTATGGCATATTAGAATAATTAGTAATTGTCCATATTGTGTGTATTAGATTGTATGATATTTTTTATATACCTTGAAGCACTTTCTTAGGAGTCCTTGTCCTTCTTGTTACAGAAGCACTCGTTTCATTTTCAATTTTAGCAGGTGGCAACTTTTCAGTATTTTCTTCAATTTGCAATTTCGGAGATGCCATTGGTACATTTGGTTTCTTTTCTGGACTCTGTGCCCTGCTTATAGTTTGTGATATGCTTTTCTTCGGTCTCCCAGGTCTCCTTATAAATAAATTCTCAAATTATTATATTATTATTTTACACGTTTAATTACGTAATATACTTTATAAAATACAATTATACACAAATTATACATTACAGTCTATCAAGTCTAGTGATGGACTAAGAACTCATATTGCCATAGTTTCCATGGTTGGCACGAAGATGTTTCAACCCATCTCCTCTTTCAGTTTCCTTTTGTCGCTTACTTCTCCTAATTGTAATCTTATGACACTCATGAGATGATATGGAGTAGTATTGCCATCATTACACAACATATATACATATAATGTATAACCATTAAAATTATTACAATTCACATGTTTATAGCACTGTGTTAAGTAAATTTACCTTTTAGTAACTTTCGATTCTTGTACAGGTTTTGGTAATTCCTCAGTTTGTTTTTCTTGTTCGTCACGTGCTTCGATTTCTTTAAATATTTCTGTCTCCAATTTATTGACTTTTTCATGCACCTCTAAAAATTAGTTACCACATTATTAATCCCGCTTTAGTAACAAGTAAGTTTTAGTAACAAATAAACAGTCCGCTGGCAAAGTTCTATATTAACCATGCTGGGCACTTTGCTCAGCATGGTTAATATACCATATTCTCTCTTTGAAAGAAATTTAAATTGACGCATTCTTGAGCAAGTGAACTTAAAATCCATGGTAAACAGGTGGTGTAAATACTTAGAAAGGGTAAACAAATACCTGGATCTATAGGGACAGCAATAACAGGCGTGGATATCCCACTGGATATGCTCTTGCGTTGCTCTGGTTGGGGAGTAGATACAACCCTGGTTCTAGATTCCATCTCCTTATGAAATATTTGAACCACATGGTCCAAGGCTGGATGAATTTGTGACCAGTGGCCTTCTAACTGTACCTCCTAAAAATCAAAGGTTACCAGAAATAGTAAATACTTTTTCTTTTTATAGAATAAGGGTGACAAACCAGTCAAAGCAGTCCACTCGATGGTAAACGGATTATTTGGCTCATAGACATCTACATCTATCCTCAGTTAAGAATCAAAATGTAGATGCATATTCACCCCTGAGGAATAAAATGGAATGCCTCGTTTCCAGTAAAACGGGTGTCCGGTTCTCTACACTCACCATACGAAACACAGCAGTATTAAGCCGCTATTTTAGGCTAGTATTCTGTGAGAGCGTGGTCCTTCCCTGGCCGAGTCGACCCATTCGCTACAACTACAATATAACTGCAGCGTGGCTTTACCAGGTAAACAACTTTCATATAATTACATATTAATTTGTTACGCTATTCTTCCTAGAGTATTCAGTCCAATTACAACACGAACGGAATTTCCCATTTACTAATTTCGCTTGTTAACTATAAAAAACTTTAGCAATATCATATTGTTACTGATTTATGAATGTTGCATGTTATTTGATTAAAAACGATTAGTCTAAATTACCGAACATAGTTTTTTATTACTACATTATTTGAGTAAAAATTGCTTTGAACTTAGTAGTAATATATTCAATGAAAAAATAATTTAGTGGATTATTTTTTAAAAACTACAATTTTTTTAAAATACCAGGCCACCATTTTTTAACTCTGTATGCTTGTGTAAAAATCCTAGAGTACTTCTCTAAAACATCTTCATTAATAAATAATTACATCACATAATTCGTATTTGCTATGCTTGGTAAGTAGGGTTTTCAAATTGGTTGATTGTCCATGTCCATCCATCCATCCATGCTTTACAGCCTATAAAAGTCCACTGATATCCTGGCAATATATGTGCCTCTCCCGTAGATTGCCGCATCGAGAGGGTTCTGCCATAGTTGTCACGCAGGGCGGGCAGGTTGACAACGAAATTTTTTGTTAATTATGTTGTTATCAGGAACATGCTCCTGCCCATATTTTGTTTAAGTTTCTTTCTGTCGCCTCTTTTGTCAAAACTAAAGTCGATTGTCCAGTTTAAGTTGAATTATATTTTTAGTATTTAAAAGATATACGAGGGTGGATTGAAAAGTACTCGGCCTAACACAGATCCATTCAATTCTAAAAATCAAATCTACCCACATTATTTAGTTCAGTTCAGACTAGTTCATTGTGTGAAGTTCGAAACGTGTGCGATAATTAGTTGTGATTTTATAAATTTATTAACAAAGTAATCGGACATAATATCCGCGAATGGAGCAAATCGAGCAGAGTGCCGTCATTAAGTACCTCCATAAGAAGGGGCTATCATCAAAAGCCATCCATGATGACATGGTCAGTACATTAGGCAATTGTGCTCTGTCATATTCATCCGTCAAAAAATGGATAGCAGAATTTAAGCGTGGTAGAGAGAGTGTGAAAGATGAATCCCGCTCTGGAAGGCCTTCGACGTCAACTACTGACGAAAATATTAAAAAAGTACTTGATTTAATAATGGGAGACCGCAGATTAAAAATTAGAGAGATAGCCGAGATTATAGGCATCTCTTATGAACGAACTCAAAACATCATTGTCAACGAGTTGGGTTTCCACAAGGTGTCTGCGAGGTGGGTTCCGCGACTGCTTTCAGTTGAACAAAAAAGGACACGATTGACTATTTCACGCGACTGTTTCGAGTTATTTGAAGCCGATGCAGATGATTTTTTGAATCGTTTTGTTACTATGGACGAAACATGGGTTCATTACTGTACACCGGAAACAAAACAACAATCAAAACAGTGGAGAAGACCTGGTTCACCACCACCTAAAAAGGCTAAGTCGATTTTGTCGGCAAATAAGGTGATGGCTTCAGTATTCTGGGACTCGAAAGGTGTGATTATGATTGATTATCTTGAAAGGGGTCAGACTATAAACTCTGATTACTACTGCACCTTACTACGTCGTTTACAAGAGGAAATAAAAGAAAAACGTCGAGGAATGAAAATCTGGCACCATCAGACTTCTTTCTGCTCCCTAACCTAAAAAAGCACTTGGGAGGTCAAAGATTTTCGACAAACGACGAGGTCAAAGTAGCTGTAGACGCATATTTTGACTCTAAGGAAGAATCATTTTTTTTCAACGGTCTAAATGTTTGGAAGGGGAGGTGGCAAAAGTGTATTGAACTTGATGGTGATTACGTAGAAAAATAAAAATATAACTGATTTAGTATGTGTTTATTTTCTTGGTTAGGCCGAGTACTTTTCAATCCACCCTCGTACAAATAAAATTATTATGTGGCTTTACAACTCTCAACACCATATTATCGAACAATTTATATAAAAATATTCATTTTCACATTTTCTTAAAAAGTTATTCAATTGATTAATAGGAAAAGTAACATACAGGTATGTCCCGAAACTAAACGTCAAGCGGGTACGGGTCGATAAGACAGGTTGTACCAGTTCTAGCAAAAAAAATCCATGTTACTTGGTCAAGTGATAAGAAACGTCGACTAAATATACTAAATTGCTAACTCCCAACCATACTGCTTTCGAGGAAAAATAAAAAACTGATCTAAAAATAAAATACTCAAATAAGTGCAATAAACAAAGTCTAGTTTGGTAAAATTTTATTTGTTTCTTATTATTATATCAACATTTTTGAATTTATTTCAATTTAATTACACTTTGCGGCCTTAAATTGGAGTTAGCATATTTTACAATTGTAAATATTTTTTATGGCGATTAGTTTGGGAGTTATCAGATTTTAATAATTATAGTATTATTTGATTAAAACTACTTTTACGGATTTTATCGCGTTTAATTTACTTGATTTTTAAAATTAAGTAAATTAAACGCTATAAAATCCGTAAAAGTAGTTTTAATAAATGTGTAGTGTTCACGTAAATATAAAATATCATAAAGTATTCTTATTAAAAACCAAGTAAAAAATATGTAATATAGTTTTTAATACCGAAACAAATTCATAAAAATAAATTGAACATTATTAACACAAACAATATGGATTTTTAATCATGCGGTAAATTGTTGTAAAATTTTCTGAAATCTGCTGGCAGGACTTCTTTAATTTGTTGAAGGTCATCATATTTTCGAGCTTTAATTTTCAGTCTAGTTTGGTTCAAATTTTGCATTTCCTCAAAACTTTTGCTGAAAAAGGGCTTTTTCTTTGGGGCAGCAGCATCTATGGCTCTTCAAACCGCAACTTATATGAAATTTCTCCTGATGAAGAATACATGAGTGCGCGAATATCGGTGACTTTAGGGTCTCCCGATGATCGTCCAGGATGAATGCTTTTGTAGCTCGAAATATTACGGAAATCTTTGAAAAAAGTATGTTCCAAATACTTGACATCAAATGGATTATTGCGCGAAGACTCAATAATTTGAACATAGTCCGCAGGAACATTTATGATTCTATTACGCATTCTCCGTTCTATTAAAGAATGCATAGCATCCACTTCCATTTGTGTATGGCCGACTTCTAAATATCTATGCTCGATGGTTATTTTGTTTTTAACTGCCATATTTAATAGCGCATTTGGCATAGTCACATTGCGATTTTGATAACCACAGCCATCCGAATAAATAATAATAGTTTTGTTTTCCACTTTAGGTAGAATCTTTTTCTCAATAAAATATGTTCCGTTTCGTTCCATACAAAACAATAGCAATCTTTGCTGATATTATTATAAAAGCACAGATTATGCACTTGAAGCTATGTTTTGTAGTACAATGTGCTGACATTTGACTTAGGTTATGTTTTTCTTTCCTAGCTTCTTCTTTTTTCAATACAAACATGTAATTGTTAATCATGTTCTTCCATTGTCCCATTATATCTTGCACATATTTCACATTCGTCCTTTTTGGGTCTAAACATAGAAAGATTTCTCGATGACATAAACTCACAAAAAGTAGTTTATCGGTTGTATGGGGTGCGATTTGCACCAGTCAGATACGTAAAACTTATATAAATCCATGTTTGTTTTCCAATCAGTTTGCAGATATTTTTGGAAGATGAAGCCCGACAGTAATGAGATTCCATTGTTGGTAGAGAGTCAAAAAATTCGGCCATTGATTTTTGCCCGTTTTGCAAAAGGGTTAACTCTAAGTTGACTAGGAATGCAAGTATTATCTTTAATTCTATCTTTCCAAGCAATAACAGTCATTCTTCCAATGCCCAAAGTATTTAAATACATAGTTTTGCAAACTCTTATATAACCACCATCAGCTGTTTTTAAATTATACTTGAATGACTGAGCTCGTCGAGAACTATCAGACAGTTTTCGATCCCTATGACGTTTTGTTGGAACTGACTGAACAGTATCATTAACAAATATTTTCTTCTCTTCCCATGTATATGCTTTCCAAAATTGGTTGAAATAGTTTCATTCTTTCTTCATCTTTTATAATGCCAAACTTGATTATGCCTGTTTTTCTGCTACATTTGCATCTGTCTTTTAAACGCTTTGGTTCTCTCTAACTTTTAGACCCATTTCGATTTTTTTTTAATTTTGCCATAATATTGAGAGCCTTTTTCGTGCTATTTTTTAGTTTTTTCTGCAAACCAGGTATTTTTATTTACTAGAGCTCGTCTTTTTCTGAATTTACTCTTCTCAGGCAAGGAAGTATCGCTATCGTTTTCTGAACTTAATGAGTATGGAACTAATTTAGGATCGCCAAAATTATCACTAAAATTGGATATTAAATCGCAGTTTTCTATATAAGTACCATTAAAATTTTCTAGCATCGATGAATCGTAAACCCTAACATTGTCACTAATTTTTAAAGACTGCGTATTGCTAATTACGTTTGCATTTTCACTAGGTACGTCAAATGTAGTAAAACATTCAGGAACATCAACTATTTCAATCTGTGCATTTTCTACTAGCGAGTAATGTTCAAGGTAATCTTCCAACGGTACATTTAAACTAGATTCAGTAGGGTAGTCCATCATATTGATAACATTGTTTAATGTATTCGTGTATCTACTATTCTGATCAGCATCAAAATTATTGTGAATAATGGTGTTTCCCTTATTAAGCAATAATTCATGCCGCGTAGTAAGAGAATCGCGATGTTGTTCTGTATTAAGAGCTAAACTGATAAGCTTCCTATCCCTATCTGAAGCCATCTGTGGATAAAACGAAAGCAAAATAAGCCACCACATCAAGCATAGCACATAAATAATTGAGCCATGCGAAAATTGAACACAAAACCTATGGATTAAAATATCTTTATCGTTACTACTGTGCCGTCGAACATCATTACAAAACCAAAAACTAATTTTCAAATAAAGCGTTAAAATACCAAAACAAAGTTATAAAACTCTTATGTAAAAAATAAAAATATCCAACTCCCAAACAATACATGAATTAGTAAGAAATAAATTATGCTAACTCCCTTATCATACAAGAATACATTTCATTTGTGCTTTTGTATCAATTTTGATTACATATATGTATCAAAACTATAAACAAATTATAGAATAGTACTTACATTTTACAAAAAACAAAAATAACAGTCACGTGTAAAGCTTCAAAAAACCTTATTTTTTAGAATAAAACTCTCGGAAACACTGATAGTACTGCTCACACTGCTAGAAGATGGCGTCGAATGGCGGGAGTTAACATGATTTCCCGCGTGATTTGACAGGCGTGGAGTTAGCATAAAAGATTGCGGCTCAAAATCTATAACCTGGGTTTAGTTTGCGTAGTTAGCATATTTGACGATTATACGCTATTTTTTTCTCTTTCGTTTGATACCAAATAGTCAATTTAGTCAAAAATGGAGTTAGCAGCTTAGAACTATTAGCCGAGGATATGTGGACTGGAATTGTAAACAGACAAATAAACGGCCATTTGAACCACCTGAAAATTTAAATGGCGACAACTACCTTAATTTTTTACAAAATTATTTGCCGACTTTATTGGAAGATGTACCACTCAACATCTATCGGGATAGTTTCAACAAGATGGTTGCCCAGCGCATTATGCCCGTCCAGTACGGGATCATATAAACACAAAATATCCCGGTAGGTTGATTGGACGTATAGGCACAATTTTATGGCCCCTCGTTCTTCGAGCCCAAATCCACTTGACTTCTTTTACTGGGGCAGTATAAAAGAAAAGTGTACTTGAAACCAATACAAAATCTAGCCGGTACTACGCCGCAAAATAGCTGAAACCGCAGAGGAAATAAACTCAAGGAGATACGCACGATAAGATCTTTTCTGACGCGACGCTGGGCCTGTATTCGTACCGAAGGCAAACAATTGGAACATTTAAATTAGTTTTAAGAAAAAATAAATTTATTACAATATTTTATAGTGTTTCAATATTGTTAACTTTTGCCATAATACGACAATAGGGCATCATTATCTTACTTTGTTGTTCGAGTTTTTTATATTCTAAATTGTTGCTAATCGTGATAATATTTTTTATGGAAAGATAAGTAGCAATTGTTGCACCATTTTGAAATCTATTAAATGAGCCATTTTTTAAAACAACTTGCCTATGGTAGTATAGTACTTACATTTTTTTGAAGACAAGACGTCAAAGTTATGTGTTAAAACGTTTTTAATAATGACTTATAGTTATTTAAGATTAAATTTAAAAAGAAAATCACTGAAAAATTTATAAATTTGTGATCACAGTACGTAAATATGTGATCTAGACGGTTGATTTTCAATATCTTCAAAAATATACCTATTATCACTTAACCAAGTAACATAGAATTTTATTTTTATTTTTGCTAGAACTGGTACAACCTAGCTTATCGTCCCGTACCCACTTGACGTTGAATTTCAGGACAGCCTGTATATTATAGATTGAAAGAAATAAAAACCCTTCAAATGGTGAAAGTGCAAGTCTCCAAGTTCACAACTGTGTTATGAGTAAAAAACATGATTCAGAAAAGATAAACCTAAACTAAATAATACCTAAACTGTCCAATTACTCTTAATCAGAACTGTGCTAAGCCTAGTAGTAACCTTAGATTTCTAGTCAAATTATTTCTGCCATATTGTGAAGGTTAAAAACTTGATTCTTTACATTACTGTATATTATGCACGATATAATAAATAAATGATATTTAATAAGAAATTTAGGATTATATTGTACAATTATTTGTTATCCCTAATAAAGAGAAAAAAAAATGTTTTAGATAGTTTGCGATTTCATTCAGACATTTGGATGGACATTGTATGGTTTAGTGATGTTAAAATAGAATATTAATAAATATATCCATATAATATATAGATATAAATCACATATAAAAAGTGAAACTACGAATATATATAATAATATAAACGGTAAAAGCTCAAAGATTTAGATAGTGATTGAGTACATGCTTCTGAAAAAAAGTTAAGGACTCTGTTTGTCTTATAGGATAGGGTGACAAACGAGCACACAGTCCACCTGATGGTAAGTGGTTGCTGTGGCCCATAAACATCTACATCTATCCTCGATTACGAATCAAAATGCAGAACCGTGGTGACCCGTGAGGACTAAGATGAAGGGCCTCGTTTCGAGTAAAAAGGGTCTCCGGTTTTCTTACACTTACCATACGTAACACGGCAGCATTAAGCTACTATTTTACGCTGGTATTCTGTGAGAGCGTGGTCCTTCCCCGGTCGAGCCGTCCCATTCGTGCTACAACTATACTACTAAAATAACTGCAGCATGGCTCTGCCACGTATAAAATCTCGCTGACGTAGGTAAGGTACATCCAATAGAAGAACTGCTTGAATAGTAAACAACCTGATCAAAAATTCGGATTATTTTACTGTTCTAATAGATGTTTTATAATATAATATTTAGTAACTTGATTATTTAAAGTAAAATAATATTATTGACACTACTAATTCTACACTCATAAACATAAATATATTATTTATTGATGCAATTAAATAAAATTATAAGTACTTTCTTCATTATTACCTCATTTTGTCTCATAATTTTAATTTTTAGTGTCTTGTCTATGGTAGAGGCAGGATGTGGAATATCCAAATGTTCTTTTGAAACAACTTCTTGTCCTACAATAACAAAAAAAAAGGGATGTTAATGATAACTTCAATTTTGCATGACATGGTATTTTATAATATAATACATACCAGATTTAGTTTCTTTTGATGCACTTTCATCTGTAATCAGTTTGGGCTTTCTGAAAAGAACATTGATGTTGTCAATTAAAAATTCAAGAAAAATTCAAAATGCTATTAAGGTAAAGTAACATCCATCATATGTTTTACTGCTACACATAGGTCTTATTCTTGAATGCGTTTAGGCCTTGTTTTAAAAAAAAGTATTACATAATTTCAATTTATATTTGTTTGCAGAATTCAAATTCTAGAAATATATTTCCCATACAGGCAGGTTTAACAAAGACGCTTCCTTTCACCGCCAGGCATGTGATAAGCCAACAGTTAAAATTGAGCTAATTTTTTTGCAATTGTTTTATAAGGAATCAAACTACAGTTACTTACTAACTATGAAATTAAACGCTTACATATCTTCTTATTTCATAATGTTCTAGGACTAGTAAGTAAGTATACATATTAGTAAAAGATATCGAGTACAGGTTACGCTCTTCTAAAAAATGCGCCAGTTGATAAGTACAACTTGGAAAATGTGGATTGGTAAGTGCAGACCGACACCATCAGAACGTAACTGTACCTTCATTCTGTAAAATTTGGGATCAGCATTTTTGAACGGAAGTCGCCATCATTAGGTCATTATAATTGTTCAAGATAATCATCTAGATGTCAGCAGAATCAACTATGTGTACAGGAGGATGAAATTTTGCAAATAAAGTTGACTCATTTGAATTGACAGTAACCTAATTATTAAGTGTGCGAACAGCACTCGGAAAGTTGTGGCTTCAAATCCCATACCAAGAGAATTACCACTAACACAAGTAGCAGATTACTTGGAGTGGTTAAGTGTAACATTAGTAATGGTAATAGTATTAAAGTAATAAAGTTAAATTACGTAATAAATTAATAAAGTCCAATTACAAATTGATGTATGATTGATCTTCCTTTTTTTATTTTTTTGTTAAGATACATAAAACTGTTTTACTTAATTTACTCTTTTTGTCATAATGTATATACCAAATAAACTTATTTCTTTCTTTCAAATAAATGAGTAATAAATTTACAAATACTAGCACAAAAATGTGGCAAACTATAGAATACAAATTAAATAACACTTACTTAGGCGGACTAGGCTTTGTTGCACCATATGTTACACCCTGTTCGTTGGATTGTTGATCATCGTCAGTTGTATGGCTTAGCAATCTACAAAAAAATACAGATGCCAATGGTAATAAAACTATAGTTAAGGGGAAATACAATGTCAAATGGCTTAGCAAGATCCTTCGTTATGCCGAAAATATTGCAGCATTAATTTTGAAATAAATATATGGTAAAGTTGAGGATTAATGTTAATGATTATGTTAGACGAAAACACGATTTCGTAAAATTTTCTCGATATAAAAAAAATCCAAAGTTACATCCAAAATAAACAATAAACCGCTGTTATTCATAAAATACTTTAAATAAGATCATGAAACTTTGCATACTAACTGAACTAACTATAAAGCAGTACTTATGTTATTTACTTTTTTTTAAATACCATTATTTTCACTGTAAAAAGAAATTACCTAAACTATCGGCGTCTTGAGCTTGATTCCAGTCGCCCCGCTAGTATCGCTTAGGCTTTTGAAGGGAGAAGTTGTGTCGCTTACGACAAGACTATACATTACGCAACAGTACGACGTAAAATTAAAATGGGAAATAACCGTGATAAAAATAAGAAGCGGCTGGCTTGGCGTTAAGAAACAGGCATAAATATGATAAACCTAATGAAATAAGTATCTAACGACCTATCTACTGCATACGACGCGCGGGGAAGTGGGGGCGAAATTAGAATTTGAGCTGACTTACTCTATCCTCTTAATAATGTATGGATTTTGCTAACAATAATTTAATTAAATAAATTTTAATTTCATTTCAATAAAATTATAGATCAATATTATTGTTCTCAAAACAATAATAAAGTACCGAAAGTATAGTGAAAAATTAAGTCTTCATCGTTAATTGAATAAATAATAATAATAATGTCCTCCAGACCGAATTTCGGCTACGGCGGCCTACCTAAACGGAGGCTAGCCATCGGCGGAGGACAGGATTATAGTGCACAAGTGTATGCGCCAGCACAGGTGCACTCTCTCTTCCCTCACTCTCATAATCCGATGGGACGGTAAACCGACACGACCGAAGAGAGATCAGGCGCAGGACCAACCGCTATTGTTAACCTGTCTCTCTATAAGAGATTGCGACATAAGGCGCTAGGTACATGCTCAACAATACAATAGACTCAGCGCAATTGTATCTCCTTGCGTTAAATTTGTACGTCCTGAAGAGAGCTACGGCGATGACTAGACGTGATGACGCAATAATCGCACCTTATTGACTTAAGAAAGCTCGTGCAACTGTCGTTTGCGTAGCTTATGGTCATCTCTTTCTTCATCTAATACGACTTATCTGTCACAGTTTAGACATTACTGAATACACAGACACAATACCTGTAATTATTTTTATGTTGTCTTCACGCCGAATTTAGTATTTTCCACTTTACGTGCTTTCTGAGGCACAGGGGTGAGACACCGCCAACTTCCTGACTCCGGGCAACTACCGAGAATTTCTCGACGGAAAAACTCAATAATTAATTTTTTGGCCCGACCCGGGATTCGAACCCAGGACCTCATGATCAGCAGTCGCACTACTACAACCACTAGACCAACGAGGCAGTCAGAGAGTTGGCAGAAATTGAATAAAACTAATTGTATGTCGATCCATCATCCAAAGAATCAAAACGATTGAAGCTCTAGAGTTAGCGACAGACTGTAAACGTAGGAATCTTCTGTGAAGCCTTCGGGGGCAGTTGTCCCGTCAAAACCAAGACCTCTACAAGAAAACTTTCTTGATTGAACACTAAGCTGAAAGAGCTTAGGGAAAAGAACAGAAAATTCTTCAATTCTTCAACTCTTCAAACTTCTTCAAAGGAAACTAAAGAGTGGGTTCACAGTGCAGCTCTAACCGAATATAAAGAGATTATGAAAGCTAAGAGATCATTGTGAAGGGAGCTATGCGAGGAAATTGGGTCTTTGACTCGCAGTGCAAGACTGCAGAAAATACTATCGATAGCTAAACCTAGTCGGATCGGGCTTCTTAAAAAGCCTGATGGTAACTTCACCACCAGTAAAACAGAAACGTTGGAGTTACTAGCGTCAACCCATTTCCCAGGGTCACAGAAGTCTTTCGCCTTGAACTCTTTCAGAGCTCTATGAAGACCACTTAATAAGGACTACTGTATGCCTGCAAAGGATAATAAGGCCAAACCTGATGCAGTGGGCTGTCGACTCCTTTAAACTATATAAAACAAGCGGTGAGGATGGAATGATTCCCATCCAACTTCAAAGGGGTATCGATATTGATTTCTTATCTGGTGAAAACCTTCAGAACAAGTTCTGCATGGGAATATATTGCAGAACGATGAACAATCGTCAAAGTTCTATTTATACCTAAGGTTGGTAGAAAGGACGATGCTTTACCAAAGTCCTTTAGACCTATAAGCCTATCTTCCTTCTTCTCAAGGCATTGGAAAAGTTTTATATATATGTGGGATAATTTAGCAATGAGTAGTTTATTTTTATTGTTTGTTGTAGAATATTAACCTCCTTGGATTATTGAACTGAAAATAAAATTGTAAGATGTCACCTTTAAAAAAAATGTCATTGTAATCAAGATAGTAAGATGTAATATGTTTTTTGTGACTAAATGAAAATAAAAGAAGCAGTATAAAAGTGAGTGTTTCGTCTCAAATTCTTGAAATATCTATTCTAGTGAAAAGAAGAAAGAAAGTAACGTTGAATTGAAAATAATACTTACCGATGAAGAACCAGTTTTTCAGAATCCCCGACGTTTGTCACCCTTAGAAATGAATGCCGTGAATATGCAAGTAAAAGAATGGTTAGACAAAGGAATAATCAAACCTAGCAAATCTGATTTCGCCTGTCCTGTAGTTCTGGCTGATAAAAAAGATGGGTCACGTAGAATGTGTATAGATTATCGACGATTAAATAAAAAGGTAATTAAAGAAAGATTTCCCCTACCTATAATAGAAGACCAGATAGACAAGTTGAAGGAGGCCAAAATGTTCACGTCTCTTGATCTGAAGAATGGCTTTTTACATGTGAAAGTACACAAAGATAGTCAAAAGTACACCTCATTCGTAATACCCCAAGGCCAGTACGAATTTCAAAGAATGCCTTATGGATTATGTACAGCGCCATCTGTGTTTCAAAGATTTATTAACGATATCTTCAGCTATCTAATTACCGATGGGACACTGCTAGTGTACCTTGATGATTTAATCATACCCTCGATAACAGAAGAAGAAGGAATAAGTAAGCTAGAGAAAGTATTTAAAAGAAGCGAAGAATTCGGTCTAGAGTTTAATTGGAAGAAATGCCATTTTTTTAAAGAAGGAAATCTTGGAAAAAATATCTTGGATATATTATTTGTGACAACGAAGTAAGACCGTCTCCAGAAAAGATTAAAGCTGTAGCGAATTTCAAGAAACCAAACAATATAAAAACTGTGCAGTCATTCCTTGGACTGACAGGGTATTTCAGAAAGTTTATAAAAAACTATTCCCTGATTGCAAAACCGATGACGGATTTGTTAAAGAAAGATGCTGTATTCAATTTTGATGAAAGGTGTGAGAAAGCTTTTATAGAATTGAAACAAATATTGTGTAACTCACCAGTTCTCCGAATATTCAATCCATATTTAGAGACAGAATTACACACCGACGCAAGTACTGACGGTTATGGAGCTGTTCTTCTACAAAGAAGCCCTAAAGACAATCAATTTCACCCCGTGCACTATATGAGTAAAAAAACAACTCCAGCTGAAAGAAAATACCATAGTTATTACTTAGAAATTTTAGCTATTGTTGCTGCCATAAAGAAGTTCCGAGTTTACCTTCTTGGGATAAAATTTAAAATAGTTACAGATTGCTCTGCTCTTACTATGACACTACAAAAAAAAGGACTTACCACCTAGAGTCGCTCGTTGGGCCCTGCTTCTAGAAGAATACGACTACAAGATCGAACACAGACCAGGAACACGAATGAGACACGCCGACGCACTGAGCAGATATCCTATCTGTATGATACTTACTGAAACTACAGCTCGTTTAAAGAAAGCACAGAATGAAGACGACTATGTGAGACTGATTAAAAGAATTTTAGAAACAGAAAAATACAAGGATTATATCATACAGAACGAAATACTATATAAAGAGAAAGATGGCAGTAAATTGATTGTTGTGCCTAAGAAAATGCAGTATGAGATAATCAGGAAAAATCACGAAAAAGGACATTTTGGAATCTTAAAAACTGAAGAACTGATTAATAGGGAATATTTCATTGAAAATTTAACTGAAAAAATAAAAAAAGTCATAAGTAATTGTATTGAATGCATTCTCATGTCGCACAAAAGAGGTAAAAAAGAGGGATTCCTACACCCGATAGACAAAGGTAATGTCCCACTATCGACATATCATGTGGATCATCTAGGGCCAATGACTTCGACTCACAAGAATTACAAATACATCCTTACCGTCGTGGATGCTTATACGAAATTTACATGGATTTACCCTGTTAAGACTTTAACCACGAAAGAGACTTTAGAGAAACTAAAACTACAACAACAAACCTTTGGAGCACCTGAAAGAATTTTTACTGATCGAAACGCTGCTTTTACTTCAAGAGACTTCCAGGAGTATTGTAAGAGTGAGAATATAACGCACTATACATTTACCACCGGACAACCCAGAGGAAACGGTCAAGTTGAGCGCATCCATCAGATTATCATAGCCGTGTTGAGCAAACTAAGTGCTGATGACCCGACTAAATGGTATCGCCGTGTGTCCAAAGTACAACGATGTTTGAATGGAACATACCAAAGAAGTATAAGAATGACACCATTTGAACTGCTTTTTGGCACTAAAATGAGAGATAAAGATGATGAACTTCAGAAATTAATAGAAGAAGAAAGCATACAGAATTTTAACGAGAAAAGAGAAGAACTTAGAAAGAAGGCCAAAGAATCTATACAGAAAGTACAAGAAGAAAACATAAAAAACTATAATAAAAAGCGAAGAGCAGCAATACCCTTTAATATTGGAGATTTGGTAGCCATAAAAAAGACACAGTTCTCACAAGGAAGTAAATTATGTCCTAAGTACTTAGGACCCTATGAAGTTGTTAAATGCAATTCAAACGATCGTTATGTTGTAAAGAAGATTGGTGTCAGCGAAGGCCCGATTAATACAACCACCTCAGCTGATCTCATGAAGCCGTGAATTTCGCCGGAAGACGATTCATCTGGGTCAGATGAATGATCAGGACGGCCGTGTGGGATAATTTAGCAATGAGTAGTTTATTTTTATTGTTTGTAAAAAGTGTGTTAAAGTGAGTGTTTCGTCTCAAATTCCTGAAATATCACCATATATATATATATATATATATATATATATATATATATATATATATATATATATTATATATATATATATATTAGGGATGTAGCTCTAGCTAACACGCTTCCTACGTCACGGCAGACTTTCCCTTGTTACCAAGGGCTGTCAATAAAGAGTTATAAACTAAATTATTTTAATTACAAAAGACAAGTATATGTATGTAAGTAGATACTTGAATAATCAAGTAAATTTCAACTAAGTTTTGTAATAAAGTACTTAGGTATTAATTCTGTAGATAAATTATTACTTAATTCTTTTATGCTGCAAGTACCAATCTAACAAAAAAAAAAAGATATAAATTCACTTTTCATAACTTCCTACTAAAATCCTTCGGTAACCTAGATTAATATATCTGAAACCTTCTATTAGTCATTTAGCATCCATCCACGCAAAAATTATCAAATAGGTAATATACATAATAATTATAATATTTAAATTACATTAAAACTCTTTCAACTATTTTATCGTACAAATAAACGTACTTAACACTAAACAAAAATTATTACATCAAGTATTTACAAAAAACTATTTACGTAAACAGCGTTAAAAAACTATAACATTCAATCGCCTACAACGCGCTAGCCCCGACTGCGTATGAAGCCCGGGGCGTCTCGCGATTGTAGGTCAGTTTAATAGCAACTGGTACGATGCGATCATCGCCTGGGATGGCTCTTAATGCAATCCCTATGTCTAATGCCTATTGTTCTTTATTTAGACAAGGAGGCGAGGGCTAGTTTGTATAGTCGGATCCTGCTTTTCTACAGATTGAGATGCCTTATCGCCTCAATGAAGGAACACCGATTTTACGCGTGATCTTAGATATCTTGCGTCCACTATAAACTTTCAATAAAAAGTACACAGTGGAACTACGCTCGAGTGAAGACTGGCTAAATGTACACATTATCTGTAAGGTCGGTAGCCTTATAAGGTTTACCGATGGGTCATAAAATGGGCCTCAAATTAGGTTTTGGAATTTATGGGGAGCACCCCAAATTCAAGCTTAGTATGAATTTGGTGGAACATTCGCCATACTTCGGTGTAAACCCTTGTTTTACAACAATTTGTCGTGTTATATATATACTAAGTTTATACTAAGACTAAAAAATTAAAAGTGTCCGGCCTTTTTACCCAAATGTCCGGCTAAACTGGCTCAAGATCCGACTTTTCTGTTTTACGACCTGGTAACCCTACACGACAGTATAGCTGTATAGACAACTGTACAAATACTTTTTATTCATTTCCACATACTGCTAAACATGGGCTTCTTCCTGAGAGATTGAGGGATATTTCCGTCAGTTGCGACGATTGGCAGGCGGGTTAGCAACTGTAGTTTTTTATTATTTTGAGTTGCAATCGCAATGCTACTGACGACGGTCTCGTTTCATTTCCACCTGTCGCCTCTTGCGACACCCACTGATATGGGGGGAGGGGGGGTGGTTGATTCTCGTATGCCGCCACTACACGTCAAATACACTACTAGTAATAAGTAATATTAGTAACCATAGAATACTATAACACACACTAGAATGGCTGTCAACCTTATTTTGTACGAGGATCGGTGTCACCGGGAGCGCACAAGCAAGCAACTACGTTGTATTATCACTACTGCAAACCCGATTCGCTGTAATGACAGACTGAGCGAATTACACATTTTAGACTTTTGATTAATGTTTTTGACACATCAATATATCTTTATTTTTGTTTCTAATATTCACAAAATATAAATAGTTTCGACTTACTGCTTGTAGTATAAATCTCCTTTACTTAAATTTTATTTCCCGCTGTTCTTACGACACGTAATTATTGCACAATTTGTAATGTTTTTAATAATTTGCATGCAGCGACGCTTGACACGAAAATTGGAAACGATTGATTGTGTTGACATTTATAGGTGTGAATTGACGTGTTAGTGTCATGTTAGTGGCTACACGGGCTCCGCCCACTCCCCCGTTCTATTATGAATGTATTATAGTATTCTATGTTAATAACCATAATTAAAAGTTGGAATATTACTTTGTCAATTTTGCTGTACGTTTCTTTTCCTCTATATACTTCAGCTTCCAATAGGATTCTTGTTCATCCTCCGAATCACCTGAAAATAAAACAATTTTTCAATTGTACTAATCTCTCGCATAGTATTTATACTATGCGCGATATATACAAATGAAGCGATTTTGTTTTAACAAAGCCGCTTAGATCTTTTAACTACGCAATGGATTTTGATTCTGGTTTTCATAGACAGAATGATTCAAGAGGAAGGTTTATATGTATAATATATGCATATGTTGTTGTGTGCGAAGACGATGCGGATCACTAGTGTTTAGATAAACCAAATATAAGATTTTGAGAAGTAATTTTTTTATCTCCACTAATATTATAAACCCGAATGTGTTTGTTCTTCTTTTACGTAAAAACGGAACAACAGGTGTACATTATAGGCTGTGACACAGCCTACTTTTATCCCGGAAAAATGTATGGTTCCACGGTAGGACAGATCTGGAACGTAATTCTTTTATTACATATTTATGCTGTCTAAGTCTTGAAAAAAAATTTGGCTGTGATTTTTCAACATAAAATTTGAAGAGAAGGTTCAGAATAAGTAATGTAGGCAAATGGAGAAGAAAAATTAAAAAAATCTCAAAAATTCTGGCCCTTTTATCTTTAAAATTCAAAATCATTATTTTGATTTTACGGTAGGCAAAACCGTTGTTGCGCATAAATCACATTCAATTTGGGATAATTTCAAATAAAAGTAGAAGCCTTATTAACTCATATTTTTAAAAACTGCAATAACGGTATATCATTATTTATATATTTGAACTTAAGTTTAAAATTTAGCTACTCTTCGAAAAATAACCCTGTAGAATTACTTTTACTTTTTACTTAATTTTCTTTTTATAAAACTGTTTATGCGTGCGTGGTCCTTCACTGCTGGTTGTATAAAGAAGATAGAACAGCGAGTTTTGAAGCGATTTATGCTTGAAGTAACTCCGTATGTAGGAATTTTTGTTACGCATCATAGATACTAGGTCGAAGAACTCTTTTTCCTTAGGCAGAAAAAATATTTGAGTAGGTACCACTCTATTAACTACTTGTGCAGCGAATAGCAGTGCCTGCACTGCTGTGTTCTGCTCTTAAGAGATAAGTATCTGGTACAGAGAGGCAATATAATGGGAAGCTATCAGACATCCATCATTACTTGTTTGAAGTTCCGTAAAGTAGCCGCTTACCAAAAGGTATAAAAAATAATATCACCAGCGTAACTTACAAAATTTAACGAATCCGAAAGTTAGATGCAATTAGCTGATCAAATAGTTCCGAAGAATCGACAACAAACAGAAGCAGTGGCGAAGCTAGGGCTCCAAACTAGCGCAAGCCCAAGATATGGTTTTGTTGTTTTTCGCAGTTTTATAAAAATACACCAATCTTGACTTGTCTCCATTCTTCAGTTTCATATTCAGTGCTGTCGAGAACGTGTTTAAGAGCGCATATTCAAATATGTCCAAGTCGAAATCTACGCGATCGCTTTGGAACGGCGTAATATTGACGCACACTACAATGTTATCTCTGTGTGCGTGTCAGGGCGAGCGTGAGGCTATAATAGTTGCCTAACGACGACTACGAATTACTTTGATCTTTGATTATATACCTGTCGTTGATACTATTGGAACTAAAATAATAAAAAAATAATTTCCATATAATGGCTTATATAGTGTATAGAAATCGGAGGCTAATATGTGGAAATTGTTTTATTCTTTTAGTAAATTGAAGTCGGCTTTACATTTTCACCCTATTGAGTAATGAGTATATTATAATATGTATATGTTCTAATTGAAAAATATGTATTGTATAAAATATATATCATTTGATAAACTTTTATTCTGTTTCATAATGTAAACATAATTCATCAAACTAACAATTTCATTAGTGTCGGCGGGGATTAGTGTTGCCAGGTCTAGCAAGTAAAATTTCGGGACGGAAGGTAAAAATAATCGGGGATTTGGTTTTCATATCCGGATATTTACAATGACTACAAAATATAGGTTTCTTTGTAGCCTTTTTGTGCTTTATTGAGAGCCGTGGTAGCTCAGATGGTCAACGCTCACTGTAAATATCACAGTATGCGAGTAATGCGAGAAATTATGACTGTAACACTTTACTTTTGTGCTTTATAATTATTATTCGGTTCTGATCTCATGAACGAGTAACTTTTCATTCAAACATCGAAAAAACTGATTTTTTTTTATTTTAGGCAAATTAAAATATTTTTGAACTATTTGTTTTTTGATGTTTAAAACTTTTGTGTTTTTTTTTTCGACTGGTAAGACAATGTCGTAGTAAAAATATTTTATTGTGGTAGTAGCTAACAGATATAATCATATTTGCAGTCAAAATTATGGATAAAAATAAGAAGGTTAGTGAAAATCGGGACATTTGGCGTCCCGATCATGGGTGAATCGGACGTTTCACTAGACCCTTGACAATCGGGACGTCCCGCGCAAATCGGGACACCTGGCAACACTAGCGGGGATCGAGCCCGGATTGTTCGCGTTTACGGCGAGCACTACCTACGCCCTTGAGCTACTCAACTCAAGCACGGCTCATATGTTTTATATCTGGGGGCACGGTAGTGCCCCCGCCAAGTCGAGCAAAACAGCGGCACGGCCGTATCATCATTGCGAGACTTGGTTATTTTACAAGTTATGTTTTTGATGGCATGTCTTTGTTCAATCATAACGTTATCTCCACACTAGGAATTTTTCCTAAGTACATCGTTGGGGCAGTTTAAATACATTAATTTCACAAGGACAAACATCCAGACCTGGAACAATTATTTGTAGGTAATACAAATTTTTGTTCCATGTGGGATTCGAACCTGCGGCGCTCAGCGCTACAACTCATTACCAAGTCACTCCGCCACGGAGCCAAAGGTGAAAGCCAACGATTTTGTATTTTTACTTGATCCGAATTGCTTACTTTCATTACTCATTTCTAAAAAAATATGTATGAAATGAAAATTTGCCACCACATTTAATATTTAAATATTACAATCATAAACATATTTCAAAATTACTTACTACCAAAAATATCGCTTATAAAAGTCACAATCGTTTAAAATGCTCGATGGTGCTATAGGTATCTAGTTATAGTATGGTGTGGTATAGCTCTATCGGTGTATCAACGCGATCGCGCGGTGTCGGTGAGAAAAAGTAATACGTCCTGTCGTTGGGATTATCCGGAGCGTACTGAATCGAACGGCGTCTCCGCATGATGTTTTATAGTATTTTTAAAATAATTATATAAAATAATTGACAAAATAAAACGAGCTAAAATTTTTTTTGGATATTTAACATTACATGTATTTTGATAAAATAATTAAAATAGATATGTTTGTAAGCAAATACATGGAAAAAATTACATTGAAGTAGACAGTTTTGGTGATTTTATAATATTATTTTATAATATTAAATCGAAATATTTTCGTAATTTAGGTTTTGCTATACACTAAAAGACTATATATTTCATTATAATAACGCTTAAAATAAAGTATTTTAGCTTATAATAATGGTTGTATTCAACCTGAAAGATAACTCTGATGCATATTTTCGTAAAACACTGTGAAGGGATTGTCTTCGCCCTAAAAAACCGTCATTAAAAACTATGATTTTGCATTGCTATGTACTAAATAAAGACTTCATCTTTCTAAAGCCCTAATTTTCAGCAAATAATCTCCTCACGTCGTTACGATATCGCCTTTGGAAAAACCATAAAACATGTAGTTTTCGACGCGAAACGCATATCTTAACCCAGCACCCCCTCAGCAACCCCTCTTAACAAAGCACACAGATAGCATACTACTGCTAGATAGTTTGTATGAAATATCAGCAATTGCATACCTTCGGTGGCTTTGAAACTTTGAGCATACAATACAATACATGAACAAAAGAAAAGCATGAACAAAGTACAATGTACAAAATTAAAAAAAAAAAAAACTAAATTATTTATATTCTAAATCGAATCGTCTCTCTTTCTTAACACGTTGAACGCCACGCGGCCCACCGGTGGGTCTATCATGACTTTCCATTGGGGCCAAGTCAATATCACGTAATCCATAATTTTTCACAACTTCAGATTTTTATACCAAAGTTTGGTAAATGCAATTATATGCGTAGAAAATAAAAATAGGCAAAATCTGTGGACTAGTTTAAGAGATATAGCAAGAGGCTCACCGGTGGGCCGCGTGGCCTCCTAGGAAGGTTTACAGAATTTTGGTACGCGGGGGCCACGTGGTCACGCGGCGGCTCACCACGCATCTCATCAGTGTTGCCGTTTTAGCGCATTTAGCCCTAGATCTAGTGCAGTTCTAGGGTCTATAGCACTTTTTTAAATATCTAAGCGCTAAAAATATCTAGTGGAATCTGGCGGAAAGTTTGATATAAGTGGGCAGCACAGTGTGATAAAAAAACACTAGCGCGTCTATCGTTCATGATCATTCGGATATACTCTGACCAAAATGTTTTTTTTTATAGTTGTTTTTTTATAGTTGTTTTTTTTTATAGCTGATGCATTAATTGTTTTACCTCCCCTTTGCATAATGGCATGTAGCTGTTTTGTTTTTATTATATTAATCCTCTAAGCTTTAGTACCTGAGAAGAACTTGTTTATACCACGTTCGAGTTTCATGTAAGTTGTTTTGCTCAGTTTTGTTTGTTTCGTGAACATTTTAAATGGAGTTGCCACCGAGGAAGAACGCTTATAGCCAGAAATATAGATCTGAATAGGGAGCAAATAGAGTGGAATTTAATTGGTCAAATAAGAAGGTAATGGTGATGATATAGTGAAAGACCGAAAAGTAAGAAACATACTCCGGAAAAGAAAGAGGGCTTGGCAAGAACCGTCAGAAGGACATGTTGCTAAGGTCACGCAGACAACATACCAATCAACCAATCATGGGTAACAAACAAGCTAAAATCAAAAACTACTACTAAACATATAACATATTACCAAAAATGTCCAGATCAACCTTCTCCTTGCTCACTTTGTTTTAACAGAATCCATTCATAATGTTGTTTTTATAATACTTGATTTTTAATTTGATTCTAAAAAGAAGTGTCATTATAAGTTATATTTAATGATGACTTATATAGTTTAATTTTTATCGCAGAAGATGCGTTATTACTATGTTCTGTTTATGAAGAATTTAATTATTTTTATTTTATGATTAACTGATGATTTAATTATTTTTAGTTATTTTTAATGTAATAAACATATAATTATTATTTTTTTGTTTTATTTGCGCTATTTATACAAATAAAAAATAAGGCACGTCACTAAGATCGTATTTAGGACTTTACCTTTGATACAACTACAAATTTCTATGGGATTTGAAAACCACGTCGTCTGGAGCAGTCCAGGGGCCACGCGGCTCACTTCCATACGTGTTTTGTTTAATAACTGCAATCTGTGGCTTGTGAGACCCGTTTACAGTGAATCATCTCTTGCGCGGCTCACCGGTGACCCCCGTGGCCTGAATGGAACAACTAGGTAAGGCTCACCGGTGGCCCCCATGGCCCTAACGGAAAGTCTCGATTTTTTTGCGTGGCGCTCAACGTGTTAAGGAAAGATTTGATTACGTCCACGTAAAATGTTGGTGAACGTTTTAATTGTACCAATAACTGTTTTTCAATTGCGATAATTGATGTCTGAAAGACGCTCTTGACCTTGTGTATTTCTCAAATAAGTATGGATGCTTCAGAGATGAGAAAGCACGTTCCGCGGAGGAACTTGTGGCTGGAATAGTTACGACAAGATAAGCAAACTTTAAAAGCTGGGGAAAGGCCTCTTCAAAACTATTTTCGTTTATAAAGTCAATGAGTTCGAAAACATTGCGGTCTTTTATTTCAGGGTAGGAATACAATGAAATCAATTAGTTTTTCAATGTTTGTTTATCGAAATGGTTTGCAAATAAGAATGATATTTTTCGCATAGTTTGTTGTTGAACAATTGGAAAAATTTTAATTTGAATTTTTTTTATAATAAAATAGGGTGACAAACGAGCACACAGTCCACCTGATGGTAAGTGGTTGCTGTGGCCCATAGACATCTACATCTTTCCTGAATTACGAATCAAAATGCAGATGCATTGTCACCCGTGAGGACTAAGATGGAATGCCTCGTTTCCAGTAAAAAGGGTCTTCGGTTCTCTACACTCACCATACGAAACACAGCAGCATTAAGCTACTTTTTGAGCGTGGTATTTCCCCGGTCGAGCCGACCCGTTCGTGCCACAACTATACTACTAATATAACTGCAGCATGGCTCTACCACGTAAAAAAAAATTACACATATCGGCATTAAAATTTCACAATATCGGCCATTAATTTCTGAAAATAATATGTTATCAATTATTTCAACAAAAAGTGGTTTGTATTCGGTTTGAGCACAGCGCACATTGCGTCTCAAACGAGGAGCAGAGTTATTTTGCAATGTGTTTTCATAAATGTGATCAAAATCTGACTAAAATTCAGTACGTAACCATGTCTGAAATTCCTTTATTTTATTACTGCTTTTATTTATTGTACAAGCAGTCCGTTTTTTTTCAAACACTCGGTGGAAAATTGAAAGAAAAAAAATTTAAATTAAATGAACGCAATGTGTTTTCAAAATTCTCAGCGGCCAAGATCGTATCGCCGTCCCAGTTCTGCGGATTGTCGGACATATCCGAAAACAAATTAATTAGATTATCTTTTTGTTCGAATGCTGTATTCACAATTCTTGATGTGTACGTCCAACGAGTTGCAGGTGCATTAGGCAATTTTTGCTGCAATATGCTTCATAAAAAAACGACCGTTTTAAAGCCTGAAGGGCTGAAAAAAAGTGCTGAATTCCCCAATCCTGTTACAAGGTTTAGATTGAAACTAATGCCAAAATGTGTGAATTACACCTAATACTTGGCTTGGAGACAAACATTCTTAACTTTTTGTTGCACACCATTTCTGACACCAGACATGACACTTGCACCGTCATAGCTTTGCGCAACCAGTTTTGTGGTGAAGTCATGTTTGTTTAATAATTCAAATATGATATTACAAAGTGTGTCTGCTGTGAGACTTTCAGACACATCTACATACCCCAAAAACGGTCATGAATATCGTTTCCATAATAATATCGGAAAATCGGACACAATTGCTCTCTGCGACTAACGTCGGGAGTTTCGTCGATAATAATTGAAACGAATTTTGACAATTTTACTTTGTACTCGATGCGCGTTTTCATTACATCAGCGACAGAATGAATAATGTCATTTTGGATGGATCGTACTTCGAAAGAAGCGATACAAGTTCTAAAAAAATTGCCTCTATTTAATGAAGTTTTCGACTCATCATGACCTCTGGAAGGAAGTTCTTGTTGGGCTAAATGGCAAACAATATCGACTAATCTATGAAAAACACTACGGTTGTGATCAACACGCATGTTGTGTTTTGTAATATCCTCAGATAACTGGCGCGACAAAGATGTTTCAATCGGATTTTTTCCAAAATTACTAAACGAACTTCGCCACTCAACAGAAGGGTCCTTGATTCTTGCATATCATCCTCGTTTCCGTGAATGGCTCAATGTGTAGAGCGCTCTTCTCAATAAATGGTGTGACGCCTTGATGAAAAGTCGTGTGGCAGTCTTTGAGAGAGGCCAACCCGAATAAGACCTGTAATGGGCTGCAATAACGATGAAGATGAAAGCTCCTGCAATACTTACGCCCCGGAGAATAAGTGACATAATTTTTCACTATTTTGCCATCTTTCACCAATGGGTATATTTTCTTTCCGTACATCACAAATAAACCACCCTCTTCTTCTAAAGATAAAATTCTGGCTGATTTTGGTTTGCTGTAAAACAAAGAAATTGTAATTAATTACTTGGTTCATATTCATATTCTATACTAAAATGTACCTTGCTAATGAACTTTAATAATTATTCAGTTACATTCAATAAAATAAAGTTTAGGAGTTAATTAAATTTTTTTAAATTAAATTGTTTAGGATGATTTAATTAAGAAAATATAGCAAACTTAAATATTTTATATTCTAAATATTTTAAGGCAGAATACTCAAATGCTGCTTAATTTTAAGATGCTGTGAAGTCTCGTGCTGTCTCTATCAATCAATCTGACTGTGACACCATGCGACTTAACATCTTAAAAGTGAGTAGCGTTTGAGTATTTCGCCATATGGTATTTCCATAGTATTTAAAATATTCAGGACCATAGACAGACGACTTCTTATTTATATTCAACATGTATATAACAAGCGATCATTTTAGTCTTGCCAAAATATGCTAGTTGCTATTAAAAAAAAAACAATGCTGAGATCATGAAATCGGAAATTAAGATTTGAATACACTTAAAGGGAAATTTATTATTATTATCAATTGTAAAAGTTTTACGATTCCAGGGCGTATCCATGTTCAAATTACTTCCGTCGACATAAAGTTTAGGTATCCGAATTCCTAACCATTCATTACGTCATATTACGTTTGATATGATATTATGATCACGTTCTCAAACGATTGTTTTTGAGTCTATCCCGTGTTGAACAAATTATGTATACAATAATTGTTGGGAACGGGGTGAGTAAAAATGTCGATTAGGATGAGTATTATTGTAATTCACTCCCCTCCACACACACACACACACACACACACACACGCACACATCATCACGCACGCACGCACGCACGCACGCACACGCACGCACGCACGCACGCACGCACGCACGCATGCACGCACGCACGCACACACGCACACACGGCGAAATTTGGACTGGAGGACATTATTTATTATTATTATGAATGACTTCAAATTAGTGTCTTTTTATTTGCACTAAAATCTACAAATCTGCAGTTAATAAATTCTAGTTATAATCAAAAGGTATTCCATACTCTTCTTTTATTAATAATTCAACTTACAAATATTTCTTGGTATGCCTATTTCGTCTCCCACGCGGTGGAGAAATAAATTCCGTATCTGTCTCAGATGTCCATTCGCTTGACTCGGAGCTGATCTTAGTGCTGCAACAAATTTATTAATAATTAAGAAAAAATCATTTTCTACTTATAGGATAATTAGCCAGATGGTTTACGTTCCATCATGTTTAAAAAAAATCGAAAATAGAAGAAGTAAAAATATTTTTAGGCATTAAACATGTTACAACCATACTACATACAGGACATAAATCTGTTGTTTTATCTTAATCTCTAATTTTATTAATCATTTATCTATACAAATAAATTAAATTCAAGTCTGTTAGTAATTTCAAAATAAAAGCTTTAAATGCATTTGAAAGTATATATGGTATGGTATAAACAAAAAACTATTTTTAAATTTTTTCAATTATAAAAATAAACAATTTAAAAAAAAGAAGGAACATCACTCAATTCTGTTTCTTATAAGAATTAAAAATCTATAAACTCAAATTTAATTTGAACAATGACTCAAATTTTATATACAAATATAGGAAAAACACTTACTGTGATTGTCGTCTCATAGATCTGTTCTGATAACTAAAACGCCTTTTACGACTGCTCGGTACAGCACCTTAAAATATAGGGCTATATTATCACCTAACTCACAAATTACATTGCTCTATCTTGTTTTTTTATAGAATAATGTAACAAAAAAACACACAGGCTACCTGATAGTAATTGAATACTGTGGCTCATAGACATCTACATGTATACTCTCGGTTATGAATCGAAATGCAGATCTTAAGGACTAATACAGGTTGCCTCATTTCCAGTAAAATGGGTCTCTGGTTCTCTATACTCACCATACGAAACACAGCAGCACTAAGCAGCTATTTTACGCTGGTATTCTGTGAGAGCATGGTCGAGCCAACCCATTCTTGCTGCAGTCATATACAGCTGCAGCATGGCTCTACAACGTAAATATATAATTCATAACTCTTTAAAATAAGCGAAAATAAAAACCAGATTAACTGATTGCAGCAGCATATTTTCTTTTATTGAGTTTAATTTTCAGATTCAGTATGTAAGGTACTGAATCTGAAAATTAAACTCACGTGCCTTTGGTAATTTAAATAAAATCAATCACTAAATATGATATTACATATAAGTAAACTAAAAATAATATTACTTAATTTGTATTGGGATTTGATGATAGTGATTCTTCACAAAAATATTTTGTTGCAAGCTGCCTTTTGATTATCGCTGATTTAATCTGTATTCAAAATATTTAAATATTATTTTTACGCAATCTTTGGAAAAAATTACTTTACAATAAATAGTTGTAAATTTTTAAAATCGTTAAAATTGCAAACCTGTACCAACAATATTTAAGGTCAAGTTGACTTAAGAGTGACACTCATTTTGGCAGTTCTTAAGCTATCTTGCAAATACTGAAATTTTATCAAATATAAGTGTGTAATCGTAATTTGTCATAAAATATTTATACTGATTCATGCCAGGCCGCGGATTCTAAACTTACCGCTAGAAAATCCAAATACATTTGCTAAAGCTTTTTCCCTTTCTGATTTAGGCGCAACATGGCCAACAGGCGTGCCTTTCTTTTTTTTCTTAAACTCATTATTATCAGTTTCTGAATTTGATTTTAACGCTATCACATCATTTCCATCAGAACTGTTCTTTTTATTGCCTTTTGATTCCTGGTCAATATTTTTGTTGGAGGTTGTAATAGCTTCATCACTGGAGCCAGTATATTTCAATGAAGTAAATTGCTCATCATATAGACTAACACTCTTTAAACATGGGTTTACAACACTGGGATTGGTGGCATCATTTTTACCGTTATCAGCAAGTATTTCTTGATCATTGTCTTTATTGGTTTCTTTCTTACAGCTTTCATCTATTTTCTCTTCTGTAACTCTTTGTAAGCTTTTCACATCCTGTTTTAAAGAGTCAACTTTTTTATTCTCCTTGCTAGAACTTTGCAACATTTTTATTTTTTGATTGTGACTAGCTAAAAGCACAGCCTTATCTGTCGTCAGCTTACCATTTTGTTTTACTCCAGCATCAGTGTCAGATACCGATATTTTCTTAGAACTTTCATTTATTAGTTGTCTTTTCTTCTTTGATACTGTTGGTTCTTGAGAATAGGCACGTTTTTTTAGATTTTTGTCGGAATTTTTATTTAATGTTAATTTTTTTGTTTGGGACTCATTACTAGTCATTTTATTTACAGAATCATCTGCTACAGGTTCAATATTTAACTCCTCTTGATTATTTGGAAGTAAGGTATCAACTAATGTACTGGAATCATTCTGGCTGCATGTCTTTTGGGATGCTATAGCTTTTTCTCCATTATTATTAATAATCCTTTCCACATTATCCTCGCTAGTATTATTTACTATGTTTCCAGGATTATTGTTGGTGGGGACAATTTCTATTGAGTTTTTGTTTTTTTTACAATCAGGATCATGTTTTTCAGTTGGTTCTTTTTCATTATTTTGAATTTCACCATTATCAGTATCTTCAATTTCTGTTTTACTATTTGATGTTTTTACACTTTCTTTCAATTCTTGTATGTTTTCATTTGAAACTTCTTTAGCGGGTTGTTTCTTGTCAATTTCTTGAGGTTTGTTTTGCATATTTGCATTGTTACTCATGTCATCAGCATCCGAGCTTATTTCAACAGGTGCATCAGACATATGGCCATCTAAATTTTTTGGATTTTTATCAGTGTTCATGTCTTCTGCAATCTCCATTTGTGTTTCCGTATCCGACCCTTCGCGTTCTTCGTCAGTTGCAAAATCCTCAATGACTTCTTGAAGCATAGGTGTTAATGGCTCAGAGTAAGTAATGAAATCGCGCAACGATTTGGTAGGCGATTTATCACCCTTTTCTTTCTCATTTTCTTTTTCCTTTTTTGGTGATTCTAAGTCTCTTTGAATATCTTCAGCAGTTTCATAACAAGGATCGAGAATAATCGTTTCAGCTGAACATCTGTGATCAGTTACAGTCTTTGAATTTATTGTTTTCTCACCTGTTGTGTTTTTATTTCCTTCTTTATTGCTTGTACTAGGTTGCTCTGTATTTAGCGGCTTTTCACCTAAAATTGATTAAAAAATTATTTTATTACATATTAATTATATTATTTTCTTATAGATCACAAACTATTTAATTTATACCTTTAGTGTTTGATTCTTCACTCACACTTTTCATTTCCAGTTTGTTTCCAAGTTTCGACTCTACATCGTATCTAAAAACATTAGAAAAATTTTGGAAAAGCATTTGGCTACTAGTTGTAAGATGTCCATGTGAGATTTATGTGTGCAAAGCGATACAGGACAAAATCCTAGAATGGGGATAACATTTTTTCTAGAAGTAAGTACAAAAAACTTTCAGAAATGACAGGAGTGTGCCCAGCACTTTTATATGATATAATAGTTAGCCTGGCCGATGTTTTACTGCCTTTACTGAAAAGGGCGCGACTAGTTTTACTCCGAATTCACCACAAATTTTTAGTGTTATAAAACTTATTGATAACTTAGTCACATCCCCACCTATCCGTTACTTTATTAGGTGATTTTTTGGCACCAAACTAGTATATATTGTGAATATGAGTCATTTTCGTTCATAAATAAATAATATGTTAATAACTCCGCCATAGCGCCATTCTTCTTTGCTTACATAAACTAATACACTGCAAAATTGTTTCCCCAAATCTTTTATCCCAAATCAATTTCAATATTAAGTCAAATCCCAGGCGTCGTCTTAATATGTTTATATTAAACGTCTATAAGAACAATACTTCATTTTACAATCCTTTAACATGAATGTGTCACTCTTATAATGATATAGTTCGAAAGGAGTCAGGTAAGGACATTGATGTCTTTGACAATAATGTAAATAAGCTACATACTCAACTATTCCACTACTTCAAGTCAACTCCACATTAATTATTTATCATCATAATAAACTCACTATATTGTCGTAAAATTTGTTAAATTTATAAATTGTTTTTTTTTTTTGAGTAAAATATATAAATAAATATGTTTACGAACAATTCATGTTGCAACTGTATGTACGCGTTTTTGGTTTGTATTCCAGGTCAAAACTTTGTATATAATTTTATTTAACGGTATTTATGTTACGTAAAATTGAATGTAAACTGTTGTGTACATCCAATAAAATAAATAAATTCTAGCATAGTTATGAATATGCCTCTTGATAAAAATAAAAATAAATATATTGTGCAGATATGACCTCAATCGGTCAAGTTGATCGGAAGGTACTCTACTATATTTGAGTACTGTAAAAACTCCAAAATTACGATGTAGATCACCACCAACACCATCCTAAAAATGTATATTTAAAATAGACTTGCTTTGCCCCTTTCGCACACTCATTATATTTTGCCGCTCTGGCATCAAGGTCATGCTAAAATTCAGTGTTATGAGTTATTTTACACCTTATACAATTTGTTTATTTTTATTATTATATATAATATATTGTAGTACAGTATTTTTTTATAAGGCTTATCTCTTTAACACGGAATTACAATGTACCAACCCTATATAATAAAAACTTCTTCCATATAAGAAATCACAAACTTCTCTGACAAAAAAACCCACATCCAACACCCACACTTAACAGAGATATAGAACTAGTATAAGTAGAGGCTGTCTGATATTTCATTGTTCTCATTGGTCGCTAGACATCATTTAATATTTAAAGTTGCTCTAGCAGCCCTTAAACAAAAATATGCAATACAAAGTTTTTACTCACCCTTGGCGAAAACTGCTAATTTGTATCAATGTTAACTGATAATAAGGATTATGTATATCAGGTAGGATTCTTTTTAAAAATGTTTCCTTTAGACTTTGCCAAGTCCGGTCTGTAAACTAAAAAGTCAACATTTATTACTGTCTTAAAGTTTAGTGGATATGCTTTACCAATATGTTACAATTACGAAAATATAACTACAATATATGAAACAAGTGTTTATATGGTACAACTATGTTTAGTGTAAATGATAAAACTAAAATTAGTCTGCCAAACATAGGTTTAGTTTTAAGCATAGGCTAAAGTTATTTTTTAAATGTTTAGCCATCACATAATATGTAAAAAAAAATCAGTTTCATCAATAAAGGTGTTTTAAAATATTTATTTTCAGAAAATAAATAAAATAAAATATTATAAATGCAGAAACTCACATATGCAACTTAGAAGTCCGTTAACAATAGTTCTGTCTAATGAACGTATAGCTATATTTTAAGCAAATTGTAATTGTTGTCTTGGTTAAACTAATATACCTAAATACACCTAGTATACAATTTTTTCATGACTCGTATTTAAAACGGATTTAAACATTTATTATGAAAATTGGTCAATTCACAAGACTTTGTAAGAATTGGTGCTTTATTGTATGAGGCAGAAGAAGTCCTATGTCAAAGTAATCTTTTAAAAAATAGGTCATTTCCAGACTGTTTAGTCCTTTCAGGAATTAGACATTAACTGACTAAATAGTTTCTTCTTTGTGTATTAATCAATGCATTTTAGGAATTTTGTGACAAATTTTCCATTAGATTTATAAAGGATGATGACCAGTGCAGAATGGTGGCATGCCATCACGAGAAATTCTGCTGTAAGTACAACCATGTAAAGTGGATTTAAAAGCATGACCTAAACTGAATTTGTTTCGTTTTTCATTTAAAGTGGGCAGATTTTGATTATTAGGATCTGTACTTAACTTTTTAAACTTTTCAAAAATTCTCAACAATCATATATGTGCACCACTAGGTACCTGCAACAGTTAGGTTGAAGATATGGGTATAATTGATACAGCAACAGCAATAACTGCTAGGAAAGTAAAGGACTAGTGCTATTACTGGATATGATTCATTTAACAGAAATGTTTTCTACAGGGTTACAGTCACATAAGTAGGGCTTGCATAAAAGGGAGAACAAGTGGCAGTTCACATGCTTTTGGTATGTCCTGATATCTTTCTGATATAACTTTTACCAACACCATTAAGCACACATTCTGATCTGAGTATTGTGAGAAAAACTAGTTAAACCAAGAACAAACTTTGTTTTTAAATTAATTATTAATAAATAATTTTATTATATCAAATAATTTCATTTTTACTAAATACTCCTGATTAAAATAATTTTAACTATGTACTAGTATCGGTCATGATTACTTTAATCCTTTAAATAAATACAGGTTGTCCCAGAAGTGAATGTCAAGCCGGAATCAGGTGATAGGTCAAGTCATAATAGTTACCAGAAAATATAAAATAAATCTTTGCTATGTATTTTAAAAATTACAGGCGTTTATAAAACAAGTGGTAAAATTAAAAAAAAATGAAAACATCATCAATGTATTTGAACTTGATTATATACATTATTTAAGGATAACTCAAAAACTACTGATCAGATCTTGATCAAATTTATATGGGACAACACGAGAAGCACCAGCGTTCAAATAAACAAAAAAAAAAATCATTTAAATCGGTTCACCCAGAAAAATGTTCTGACATAACACATAAAAGAAACATACAGTTGAATCGAGTACCTCCTCTTTTTTTCAAACTTTATTCTTTATTTTATTTTTATTATGTAATCCTGGATAATACTTCTAAAACTGCTACTTATAATTTAGAGCCAGCTCCAGTCCAGAAAGAAATGTAATTTTTTCAAAATTAATACTTGTTTAAATGACTGTACTGGAAAAAAAATGTACTACACGAGTATGGCAAGTATTCAAAATTAATACTTTACCCAGTTTGGCAAGCAACTTAACAGTTTGCACATTTAATAAGGACCCCAAAATGGTATTACACTTGCAAGATTATTTGTCAAATTATAAAAATATTTTTTTTTAAGGAAAACAAGTTGTAAAATAATTTTCCTTACCCATCTAAAATGATTTTTGTGTACCTTAAGGCTTTTTTCAAATCTGTTACTTAAGATTCTAGTTGTAGTGAAATGGAAGGAAGCCGCTGGCGATGTGTGAGCGAGACAGATAGTGACGCTAACAAGACAAAAACGGAAAGACCAATTTAACCCAGATGTTACTGTAACTATTTTTTGTTTTCGATCTTGATGATATTTGGATATGATAGTTAAAATGACTCATAATAACCAGGAAAAATAGTAAAAAAAAATTACATGTTTTCAGAAAAGCCAGAAAAGGGTGGGCTTTTAAAAGTCCCGTCGTAATATGGGGATTATTTACATGTATGTGGCGGTCTAATAATAAAACAAACTGTTATTATATTAGTTTTTTATTATTACGGAAAATTTTAACTATACAAAAGAAAATAGACATAGGTATAGCAAGTTATGTGATATGATGTCTCACAATAAAACAACAGCACTTCACTAAGTATATCACACTAAAAGTCAGTAAAGTTCACTAACTTTACTGAGTTTTAGTGTGATATTCAAGGAAACAGTTCTTAGGATGTAAATGAATCTTACACTTTTGGCAAATAAAAAAACATTTAACTTTGCAAGCTTTGCATCTTAGTTGGGGAGCGCTGTACTGGACCAAGTGATCAACCCCATCATATCGAGATGATTCAAGATGAGATCTACCTGTGGGACATGGTCCTCTCTTATCGCTTTTTTTGTAGCTTTCGAGCAAACCTTTTGCCAGTAGTCTACGAAAAGTGAGATGATCATGTTCTCCACCGTCTCGCTTGTAAAGTTGCCATGCATTATGCACAGCCATATCTAAGGTGTGACAAAACAGTGAAAAATACCATTTCTTGCCACGAATAGAAGTCCGATACAACCCTATGTTTTGATCGGATCTATCGACCCCCTCCCATATTTTCATTGTATTTTCTTATAACCGACGGTTGGTCAATATGTACAAATCTTTTTAGTTCTTGCGAAAATCTCTTGACTTTTTGCAGGGGCTCCACAGTTTCAGTATTCGAGGCAACAGTAACGACACTATTGTCATTCCACTTGCAAACCAAAATGTTGGTAGGCAAACTGGATTTGAATACAAATGAACCTCTATCAGTATTTTTGAAATCTTTGTTAGACTCGAGAGGACACTTGGACGTTCTGTTTTCACGAATAGTTCCAGTGGCTCTCAGACCTCTATTACTAAGTTCATGCAGTAGAGGAATAGAGGAAAAATAATTGTCGAAGAATAAATGAAATGGCAATGTTGGATCACGACCTTGTAGAACATCAGCAAACTCCAAAATCACACTCCCACCTAGACCAAACTGTTTGTAACCTTCTGCAATGGTTGAAGATTTTCCCTGGTAAGGATCAAACCAAATCACGTAGCCTAATCTTGTAGCACCAACCCACAGTTTATACCCCCAACGAATTGGTTTGCCACGTATAAACTGTTTGCAACTGTGACGTCCATAGTATGGAACCATAGCCTCATCTATGCTGTAGTTCTCTTCTAGCGGAGCCATTTCAGTAAAGATTTTATTTAACTCGTCAAACAGAGGTCTCAACTTAGCGAATTTGTCAGGAGAATCACCAAGAACTGTATTATCACAGCAGTGGAGATTTGACATAATAAAAGTAAAACGATCTCTTGACATAGCGTTGTGCACAATCCTAAAGTCGGCATCTGTCGATGTCTCCCAATACATAAACCTACGGGGTACTACTACATATCCGCTGTACATAAGGATGCCCAAGAAACACTTCATTTCAGAAACAGTTACTTTGCCCACTTTATTCCTCTGTCCTGCGTACAAATTGGTATATCGCACTAGTAATTCAATAACATTGTTGTTGAACAAGCAGTCGAAATAATATAAGGGTGATTGTAAGTTTTTTGGACCTTGTTCGTCATTCCATTGATTGAAATGGTTTGGAATATGACGATTCTTCCATCTATAGGTTTGGTTTCGGGGAACTGTAGGCTGAACAAATGTAGAATTAGTTGACACATCTGAAGTACAAGAAGGTACGGCGTCACTATCTTCTAAAGTCAAATCCATCGTGCGTCTTCTTTTTGACAAACTTGACAAAGGTACATCATCTTCTTCGTCGGAACTCATATGAAAAGTGACCTCGGCTGGAGCTCGTAGTTGAGAGCCTATAAAAACAGATATAAATATTGCAACCATATAAATAAAACAAGATAGAATCATTGATACGTAGTTATATCAACCCGAAAACAAATATTTTACCTGGTAGATTTTGCAATGCAACAAATTCTTCATCTCCAGAATCCTCATCTGTGACGTCGGCATTAGCGTTCTCAGGTGGAAAAATTGTAATTTGAGTTGGCAACAAATCATCATCCTCACATCGCTCTAATTCATCAACTATATCGTTGAGATTGAGTGCTCTCAAAGGTCGCGTGCTAAAAAGAAAATAATAATATTATAGACCCCCATATTGCGACGGGACTTTTAAAAGGCCATCAATTTGAAACGTGAAAAACTAATGAGTTTTTGTTGCATCAAAACAAATAGATAACCTGATATTGTAGATAATATATCTAAAATTAAATATCAAAATGTATTAGCAACAACATCCAAATATATAAATGATAAAAGCTTACCTTTGTCCAGACATCATGACACTAATACTCCTAAGTCTTCAATGACACAAAAACTTTAAATAAACAAGTGTCTAGTTGTAAACAACACCGCATGAAATCATACACGGATAGGTACTAAGTAACCTGACATTGCAAATATCTTAGAGAATTCATTTTAACAACTCGAAACTTGAAGGTATTTTTAATAATTTTTTCGGGTCTTTTAAAAGCCCCGTCGCAGTATCTGGGTTAACATAGTTTGAGCAAGACAGATAGTGACGCTAGATTTTCTCTATTTTTTATAAATGCTGTAATTTTTAAAATACATAGCAAAAATTTTTTTGACTTTGAATTATTATGACTTGACCTATCACCTGATTTCAGCTTGACGTCGACTTTTAGGACAGCCTGTATATATTATATATTTTAACAATATTTTTTCAGACAAAACTACTTTTGTTGAACTTCTCTAAAATTATTTTTGACTGTTTTTGTTGATCAAAATTAGTAACATGTACCTATATTATATAATAGATACTTTAATTAGATTAGCAACAAATAGTATATTCTGCCAAATGCCGAATACTGAATATTCTGCAGGTGTCCTGGCCGAATATTAGGCAAAAGTAATCAGCCGGGAAGGAAGTGGTGTTTATTCAGTGTCTTTTCTTTAAAAATTGTCTAGGGGAAGAAAAGGAGTAGACTACGGCCTGAAAAAAAAATATTTCTGCACAGTAATCTTCCACTTCTAAATTATTAATTACATGATGCATAAGACATTTATTTGATATTTTGTTAATTTTTATAAAACGTAAGTTGATTATGTACCTATTACTTAAAGATTACTTAGATGTTTAGTAGAAAAATACATCATTATAAAATAAACCAATATTTTCATTTTACCAATCTAACTGTAATATGTTTTTTGTAGTTGGATAATTAAGTATTCCATATTCTACTGAATCATACTTAGATATTTGGTATTCAACCAAATAGGATAAAAGAAGCCGAATAGGCCAAATACTGAATGGTAGTTGAATATTCATTGCGGGTTTAATTTTAATTTATATAGCAAAATACAAAAATAAGAATATATATAAATTTAAGTTGTCTTGGGTTTTATAATATAAATTTTATAAAACCCGGGTTTTCTTTAGTAATCTGCTGCATGAATATATGGTCGCCGAGTGGGTGGGGGAGGGGGGGGGGAGGAGGCGGAACCTCCCCCCTGAAAGGAAAAAGTGCCGGAAACCCCCCCTTTTTTTTTATGAATTTTTAAAGTTTTGTTACATTTAAGGAAAATTCGCTTTCGTTTAATAAAAAAAGGGCGTCCGGCGACGAAAAACTCACATTCGGGTCCCGGTGGGAATGTGGGAGTATTTAGGGTGGGAAAAACGGTGGGAATTAACACTATTTTGACTCTGCTTCTGCTCCAGCGCTGCGGGAAGTGCAGCCCTTTCGCCCTTGCGTAACTAAGCACAGGCACCTAGCTCACCTGCGCAGCTTCGGCTGTTTGGTCGCCTTCGGCGACCAGCCTCAGCCGCTACGGCTCGTACGCTGCCTACGCTTAGTTACAGCGGGCGAGGGCTGCATTCCCTCCGCGCTTCCGGATTTTCATATACACTCTAGGGGTAAGAGCGGAAAGACCACGTGGAAGTTGGGGTTGACAGATTCGGTTTTGTGATTTATACCTTCTGGTACTAGAGTTTGATCAAAAGAAATGACCAAATATAATATTATAAAAACATTTATTTATATACATGGTTAATTACTTTAATTAGTTCCATAAAAGGATCCTTTTTTTTTCTTTGCACTGACCTTCTCCACAAATATTCTATAATAATGTCTGAAAAGTTTTCCAGGTGATTATAATTGTATTTACTGAAAAATCTTTTAACCACCCGCCATTGCGATTCGATTCTTTGAGTATGAGTGCCATCAGGGGCAACAAATGGGTTCTCAGGATCTGAATGGTTCACCTTCTTGTGAATGTACCCATGTTGGGGTCAGCAGCCTCGAGGGTAGCCAGTCGACCAAGCTGGTTAATAAATGTTGGTTCTCCGCACGTCATCACTTGAGTGCGCTTCTTCTTAATGTACCCATGTTGCCCCAAACAATCATAAGCCCTCCAGAAGTGGGTATGGATTGTGGTGCCCTCAACCACATGTTTTTTAATTAGGGGCACTAGTATGTCCGCTAACCTGATGTTTTCAGGGCACACCTCTAGTCGTAAATCCTCACTTCCATCCTCAATGAGGCCGAGGATCCAGTGGCCCTCAATCTGCCTTCCTAAAATCAACAATAAACAATTTAGAGTTAGTAAATATTCAAGATATTTATTTATTTATTTACTCTATATTGTACAGTGTACACCAAAACCCAATAGTACAAAATTACAAAAAAAAAAAACAAATACAAAAGTACAAAATTTTATAGCAGAATATGTACAACAGGCTGTCTTATCACTCTGAAACTGATTTCTTCCAGATATTTTGGCTTTAAAAGGTATTCAAATATATTTAATAAAAGGTATTAAAAGATAATTTGGGTTCAAAAGTAAACTTTAAAATAAATAATGTGTAATAATTTAAGACTAACATAGGTTAAGCTAATTTACTAACATATTATGGACTATATGTGGGTCTGAAATAAATTTAATTATCATTATATTATTATTATAAATATATTGTTTCAGTCTGTAATATAAGAAAATCAAATTACCTTTATTATATTTCCGTTTTCCAAATTTTGACTCGTCTGTTTGGACTACTTTTCCTGGGCCACCAATCTTGCCGATGGCCTCTTGTTGCTCTATTTGGTAAATGACGACTGTCTCCCGGCAGTAATTTTTTTTAAAACAGAGTACAGACCATGCTCTATTGCTATCTCTTTGTAATAATTATATTCTTATTTCGTATTGGTATCATTTTTAAATGGATATAACCTCAAAACTATAATTGTCGATATCTCGAAAACTAAAGATTTCCGGCATAAAAAACAGCTAGATGATAATTAATAGTGTCATTGCCTGTCAACTAAAGCTAAAATGATCAAATAATTATGTTGTTATTTCGTTTCGTATCATTTTTAAATGGACATAACCTCAAAACTAAAATTATCGATATCTCGAAAACTAAGGATTTCCGGCATAAAAAGCAGCTAGATGGTAATCAATAGCATCATTACCTATCAACTAAAGCTAAAATGATCACTTAAATCGTGCAGCAGATTACTAAAGCCGACCCTAAAACCCAACACAACTAGCTTAAACAAAAATGCAAGACCAAATGTATATGATAGACTTGTGTTAATCAAGCAAGATTATTGAACAAAATAATATTTGTGTTCTTAATTTCCTCAATATAAGTTTCTGAGCACTGAAACTTTCATTTGAAAGTGCTAACTTTGGGTAGTTAGACACTATAGTATATATAGAGAAATATCTCTACCAACCCTTGATTTCTCAAAGTCCATCCACATCTTTCTACCTCTTATTTCCCCATAGGCTTTTCTTTCAGTTAAATAATCCACTATAGCCTTCATCTCCTTCATAGTGTATGCTTTCCTTAAATACAAATGTAAATAAATATTATTGCAACTAATAAGTAAAAAAAATGTCGTTATAAATTGAATGAAAAAATTATATCGTTAAACCAAACGGTGTACTTAAAAAACATGAGGGTAATTTTATTTTTTATTCTATATCTAAATTCCTATATTTTATTTCCTTACCATTTATTTTTTATCAAACAATTTATATTTCTTGTATTTAATTAACACTTACGAATCTAAATGAGAAATATTCATAAGGCTTTTGTTTTTGCATAAAACTTACCCCGACATTTTGGAGGGCTCTTTACAATGCCGGTTTCTTGAATATGTGTACTTCCTTTTATAATTGTATATTAAATACACATTCTCAATAAGAAACCCACGGAATATAATTCATATCAATAAAGTATATTGCGAATAATTTAATTCCAAAATATCACAAAATTTCACATCAAACATACACAATAGAACACCAACACCAAGCAAACAGCCGACCATAGATTACTGTATATATACTAGCAGCCGACCAAACCAAAGCCAAACACAAATTCAAGTTCAACAATTCAGATCAGGGCTGCCAGATGGAAAAACCGCGTGATCTTCCCCATATAAAAAAATTACTCTATGGCGTGATCGTACGCCTTTGAGTATTAAACCAAAGGAGACGGCATCGCGAGGCATACCCTTTTGTAAAAGGTACAAGAGTCCGACTCATACTCGTTATATAAAACTAGTTGCTCCGCGTCGTGCGTCATTCCGAAGTGATCGCATTGTATTTTTGATATTTGTAGATTGCAGTGTATTTACAAGAAAATAACAACCAAAAACGTCAAGTATACAAAAGGACAATGTGATTTTTCATCTGTGAGTATTTTTAACATAATATTAAAGTAATTTTATCATTAAAACTCTTACTTTGTAAATATTATCGTCCAATACCGAGTGTGGTCATTATAGTTCATAAAGTAAAGAATAATCTAAAAAATATATAATTTACTATACAAGTTATATTTATATTAACGAAAATATATTTCCTAATAACTAAATCAGTTTGTGATGAATAATAATCATTACATATAGATATGTAGTGGATTTTGTTAAATGATTTATATATTCAGCTTCATTTCAACACGATACTGAATATTATATAATTAAATATAATCGATAACTAGTATTTATTAAAATATTATACAAAATACAGGCCAAATAAGTCAAATCGAAACTTGCTACCTCGCAGCAAAAGTGTGCAATTTTTATAAAAATAAACTAGTGTCACTGCAACCAAAATTATTGCGCTATAGTGATGAACGCCGAAACTTTAGCTATCGATAAGTTAATTAACCATGCGGGTTTGTCTGCCGAACCGGTTTGTAGTTTTTATTTAGATTTTATAATAAAGTATTACAAAAAGTAGTACATTTTTCTATTATTGGTTTGTTTTTACAGATTTCCAAGAGATCCTCTTAGACGGCACACTTGGATTGTAGCTTGTAGAAACCATGAATCTGACACTGCAGTACTATCCTTGAACTTGTGAGAGGTAATGTTTGACAGTAATTATATTTAGATTAAATATTTTCATTATTACCTTTATCACCAATATTATTCTACTTGAAAATATTTTATTAATGTAGTATAATTTTTGTAAGCCATAAATGGCAAAATATGTAGCTCGTTTTAAGTTTTTAAACACATTTACGACTACGATTTTATTTACTCATGTGTTACAAAAATAAATAAATATCTTTATCATATATATATACACACGACTATATATATATATATATATATATATATATATATATATATATATATATACATATAGAGGCACGCCAATTAGTATATTATGTTATAATCATAATACATACACTGAATTTTTAGTTAAACATTTTTATACACTGATTATTTATCAAATTAGTTATACTAATTCCGGAAGAATGTTGTGGTCACAGTACAAATCCACGAACGCAAAGACTTTAACTTGCTTGAAATAAAGTTCATTTTTCTTTATTTTTATTGAATGACAGAATTAGTAATAATACAAATAAAACTGCACTCTTAAAAGTCTTATTGCCTTAAGTTAAGGTCCATTTCAGTTTATTTTGACAGTAAAGATTTAGTGTGGCTGTAATTTACGTAGTTTTAATTATTTTTGGGATAAAAAATTACCTATACTCGTATTAAAAATGATAGGAATCGATTCAGTAAACGATTCTGAACAAACTACTTGCTATGTACGTAAAACTTTTGGAACATGTTTGCCTGCACCACGTACATTGAATAAGTGGTACACTACCATCGATCGCCGACCAGGGTTTACTCAAAAAGCGCTGACGGCATTAAAATTGAGAGCGGAGAGTAGCCCTCATAAAATTTGTTATTGTACCTTGGTAATGGATGAAATGAAAATTAAGCAAGTGACAGAATACCATGCAAGTAGCTAAAGGCATTATGTATATAACCAAAACGTCTTTTAGAACTTGCATGGTACTCCGTCAATTGTTTTATTTTCATTTCATCTATCACTAATATACAATATAATTTCTTGTCAGGGTTACTCTCTAGTCTAAGTTTTAATACAGTTAACGCTTTTTTTTGTGTAGCCAAGTTGGTCATAAATTTTACTGTACCACTTTGTTATAGTATGTGATGAAGGAAGACCAATTACAAAACTTTTGATATTTCGCACATTTTGTTAAGCTTTCGGTGAATAGTAATGTAAAGTTAAAGCAAAACGTCTTTCTGGGGAATACTTAGCCCTAGGTAGATGTCACGTTTTATTTTTAAGCAGCTGTCTGCTTAAAGTTCTCTTTGTTAAACTATTATATAGTGTAAAACTTTTTTGTTTTCCTAATTTATTAAATATTTTCCAGATAGTTCATTTAATAAATCTTGAAAATCAACAACTTTTTTAAATAGCGGTTTTGTGATTGAAGCCTTATAATAAAAACAAAAACTTGGTTAACACCATCTAAGACGATAAACTCATAGGACTTTTCTTTTCACAAATCTGATTTTTAAAATAAGTTAACTAAGCCTATTTCGATTTGTTAAATGTTTTAAATTTTATCCTGCATAATGTAAAATAAACCTGTAGCAAAATAATAAACTTATTTTCAATCATTTCTAAGTTTTTTTCCGAAGAACATTTCTAAATACTTTAAAATAAGAATTTCAAAAACACCTTGGTATTATTTAACTATGTATTACTTATAATCAAATAAAAACTTATGCGGACTATGGTGATTTGTTTATTGATAAAAAAATATCGACACAGTAAACGCCTTACGTTGCTTACGCATTTAGACAGTGCCACCAGTGTATCGACACGTGTACAATTTGATGGTAAACGCGATGAACACAATCACAAATGCTGTAGTGTGCGTTTATAGTGACGCGATTTAATTTTGCATTTGTTGTTAAGTATACAGTTGTGTGGTTTTCTTGCGCCCCCCTGATGTTGACAGAATTTTTGTTTAGGAATTAACGCGCATGGCCTCACCAGTTGGTTGAATACTAAAAGTCGTATGCCAACTATAAAAATGTCGTATGTCAGGGAGATTTTGAAATGAAAAGATCGTACAATATAAAAGCATTTATTCAGACTATAGTCAACCAAATCTAAGAAATACCTTTTGAAGTTTCACATTAATCATTCCGCAATAACTTTGCACAAGCGCACTCACATGATTTAAAATAACCTTTTACGTTAGTTACAGCCCATATATATAATATACGTCCCACTCCTGGGCTCAGGCCTCCTCGCTCATTTTTGAGAGGGTTTTAGGGCAAGGCATTGTCCGCCACGCTGCCCCAATGCGTGTTGGTGAACTTCACATGTCTTAGAAATATTTTTTTGATTATTTCTCAGACATGCAGGTTTCCTGACGATGTTTTTCTTCACCGCCGAGCACGTGGTAAATTAGCACTTAAAATTGCAATTGACAATTTCATTGGTACCGGCGGGGATCGAACCCAGTTTGCTCGCGTACTGTGAAATATACAGCGAGTGCTAACCGAGCCGAGCTAAAAGAGCCGTGGTAGCTCAGATGAGCTACGTAAATCCGAAGAATTATGAAGTTATCTATATTTTATTATAACGTGTATAGTTTTTTATCACTAATTTAAATTCAAATGTTTCAAACAAAGCAAAATATTAAAAAAAATTATCAGTATCAATTTTTTTACTTAACGTCGTTTTGATGATATGTCGCTATGTACTTTACCGTAGTGTTTGGATAATTAAAACTCATTGTTATGCTAATCATCGGCAAAAACATTCAATTAATCGGTAAAAATATTCAAATAATCGAATCATTCATTTTTTTATTTATTATTTGTGCAATGAAATTTTTATTTTTAAAATTCCTTAAACTACATGAATCATAAATAAAACAAGTTTTTTTTTTACTTTGTCAACGGAAATTTGATAGGAAAAAAATCGCTTATACAAGGTCGTGCTGAAAAAACTACTTCGTAATTTCAATCTCCCGCCATTTCGAGATTGTGCGTAATTTTGTGATTTTGCTCTTGTCTTCTTATTTTGTGACTCGACTTTACACCCGTCCGTCTCACAAATGATGATTGGGCAAAAATGGTAGATAAACAAAAAAAAAATGATTATAGATGACTTTAAAAGAGATATTAATTTTGACTGCATTATTGAAAATCAAATAACAATTAAGCTAAACAACGACGGCTAAACTAGTTGTACTGAAAGTGATTAAATAAATTTATTTTTAATCTTCAAAAAGGAATATGGAGCTTACAAATTTATGATTCCAAAGGATAAGTTACCTATGTTTATTGATGAAAATGGCCCACTGGAGTATCTTTCCGCAGATTTATAAGGTTTAATAAGCCGAGTAATTTAAATGAAACTAAATCGAGTAACCTATCTTTATTAAATAAAAATGATGAAAAATGATGCTGGGGATAATACAACTATCAAGTTGATAAGTTTTAATTGTAAATCTTTTAAAAGATCAGCAGACTTTGTAAAGTCTTTGAGTGAAAGGGCGGATATAATTGCGCTCCAGGAGACACGGCTTCTGCCCCATGAGATTCCTGACTTGGGTCAAGTAAATAAGGATATTTGTTTTTTCGGGAAGTCCGCGGTAGATATAAGCAAAGGACTATTGCGAGGACGACCTTATGGCGGTGTCGGCTTACTATGGAAAAACAACGTGTTTGACTCTGTAAATGTAGTTCTGTGTATGAGTGAGCGCATTATCACTATTAAAGTGTACGTTTCGGATCGGTTGATGTTATTTTTTAATGTGTATATGCCT